TCTCCTTCACCTTCACCTATCTAGGCAGCACTGTTTCAACTACAGGCAACACACGCGCAGACGAGGATTTCAAAGCAAGTCAGCATCGGAAAGATAGCAAGACAGGCCTTCATGCATTAACCTGAAATCAGTGTGGAGATCTTCTCCACTCCACTCCACTCAGCACAAAGTGTGAACAACATCCTCATTTTCAACACCAATTGAGTGAAGTAAGTCAGTGATTCTATGTGATGGTTGAGAGAGTTGGCGCGTTACGAAGGGCATTCCCAACAAACTACAAACATTCATCAACAATTGCCTACACTGGCTCCTCCTGGCTGACTGGCTGGCTGACAACGAACCAATGAGGCAACAACCTATCACTCAACGAATATGCACTGGAAGGAAGTGGAGATGGATTGGATTGGATTGGATTGGGCACACACTGAGAAGGCCGATTGTGGACATCACGTGTCAGGCCAGTCTGTCGAGTGGAACCCAGATGGGAAACGATGAGTTGGTCATTCGTGTTGAGGGTGACATGGATGAGATGGTGTGGTGTGAGTTAGAAATGAGAGGTTGTGTGCTGTGGTGGAGCGAGGTTGAGAAGATTTGAGAGAAGGTAGTGGAGTGGAGTGGAGACGTGCTAGTGAAGCCGTATGTTCCACCAGGAACGCAAGAGACAAATAATAATAATAATAGTAATGATTTGTGGGAAAGAAGCTATTGTTTGAAGTAATAGTTCACCTTAATGAGAAAAATAAGTTAAAAGCTTGAAAATATTTCAATGAGTTCAATATGGAATTGCGTTCACCTTGTTAACTAGGAGTGGAATCTAGGGAGCATGTTTCATCCTGTGTGGGACTCGTCAGCTGGCAGTACCGAGGCATCCCCATTGGAGTTCATCTACCAGCAGAAGTAGAGGATTTCGATCCTGTATAGCTGCTGGGAATTACAAGTATCAAACAACCAAATGTGAAATACTTATACTTACGCCTAAGTTAATTCATATCTTAGACACTATGTAGATAACTGGGTTAAGTCTAAAAATAAAAAAGATTCTGTGAACTCCAAGTTATGAAGTGATGGGTACTGAGTTTGCGTCCCGGTGGGAATACCATCATTCACCGAGATGCAGGTACTTCCAGCTGACGAGTCCTAAATAGGACAGAACTCAGGTTCTGGGTTTCACTGCTAGCCACCAGAGGAACTAAAACATGATGAATACTCAAGCAGTATCAAGGCATCCACATAAGAACTCATCTATCAACAAAGATCGTGCAGTTCTGCCCACAATAACAAAGGGAAATTAAAAGTACCAGTAAATATCTAGGATATGAGTTCAATCCTATTTGACGTTCATCAAATGAATTGATCTTCGCCTAAATTCGTATTTTCACTGATAATAAAATTAAGCATCTGTCGTTTAGAACAAAAGAAAAATTATTCATTCAGTTACTAATTAGTGGTAGCCATCTCTTATACTGAAAGTATTAATTATGATTTAGAGTTTTATTCAGTCTTGACAGTGAGAGTTCTCAATAGGATTAAACATTCACTCTGAACTGTGCTCCCTACGATGAATCAGCATTGAAGCGACCATGAAACACTTGGTAAATATCAAGGTATTCATTCAGTCAATTGATGTGCCAACACAGAAGGTTCAATTCCGTATATCATTATGAAAAAATAGGAAATCTTAAAATGTTAATGAATGTCTACATATTTATATACTGATTCCAACCCCAACTATTCTTCAATACACTGTATTTTTTGTGATCAGTTAAGCCAGGGTAAAATACAATCCACTCAGTTAAATTGACTAAACTACATTCAATTTTATTTGTGCTGTACTCAATTTTCATGTTGTTGTAAGTTATATAATCCACAATTCTGTATAAAACACTCCAAATTAGCTTAAATTCCTCCTTTTTTTTGAAAATGTATTCGACTTAGCTTGTTTTCTACTGTACACAACTGAGTTTTATAACTGTAGATTGTTTTAAATTTAATGTTGTGCTAATCTTTTTCTATGGAAGTTTATTATGTTATCCTATAATAAATCTAAATATTAGTGCATTATGCTATAAATTCCAAAGAAATGAATCTAATAGGTTAATTGTTTCGTGTAGAATGTTTTATTGTATCATTCCATTGAGTAGTAGTAGTTAATGGTTAATCCGCGCCAATTCCAAAGTTGAATACATTATTCATATTACACTTTGTCTACTTTAGCTCGGTGAGTAGTATATGTGTAATAGTTTGGCAGGCGAATTTGTACACGTGTGTTGAATTTTTTCATCTAAGTTTGTATTGACCAGAATAAATTGTCTTCAACTGTTCCGACTAAACGTGTTGAGCTAAATCTGCTTTTTGTTTAGTGAGATAAGGTGAATATACACACCATCTGCAGTTAGATAGTCCTACGTTATTTAGTGTTTTGATTTGTGGAATTATCTTCTCTGAACCTTTCATTCATCTTGAAGGTTAAAAGAAATTTATATTTGGTCCCACTTCTAAACATCAATATGTTATAATAGATATTGGTAAAAAAAATTGACTTATTAACTAACACTTTCATGTAGAATAAGATCAGTATATGCAATCTCAGTTTTTTAAAAGAAGGAATCATAATCTCTAAATGCTACTTTAGACACCTTCTTCCAGTACGTTCAACACTATTTGTTATAAATTCATAATATCTCCCACTTATACTTGTAAATAATCATCAAAAATGTTGTAGCAAATATAAACTTACATCGGGAATTTTCCTTTGAAGTTGATCTATGATGAAGGGGAATGAGATAAGGTGAACTAAAAGTTTTGATAAGCAACATGATAATTTTGTGACCTAAGTATATACCGTATAAAAAACTAACAGAAATTAGGAACTATTTGACATCAATTAAACTTCGACTAACAATATAGGCATTTAGTTGTTATAAGGTTGACTATAGAGTTATTGATCCCTATCATTAATAGAATATGACTGAATTTTAAAGAGGAAATTTTTCATCAATTAATATTTTCTTTCTTTATTTATTGTCATATCGAAAAACTCATAGTTAATGATGATTTTACTGAGTTATAGAATAAATAGGTAATAGTGAAGAAAATTTGTCAAAGTCAGAATCGGAAAAGCAAGACAGACGTTCATTAGCCTGAAATCAGTGTGGAGATCTTCTGCACTCAGCATGCGGAACAAGATACGGATTTTCAACACCAATTCAGTCAAGTCAGTGCTTCTATATGGTTCAGAGACTTGGCGCATTACGAAAGGCATTTCCAACAAACTACAGACATTCATCAACAACTGCTTACGCTGGCTCACTACTGAAGATCAGATGGCCAGGATAACAAGAATAAGCAACAAGGAGCTCTGGGAAAGAATCAACCAAGAACATATCACCCAACAAATATGCAGGAGGAAGTGGAGATAGATTGGGCATGCACTGAGAAGGCCGAATGGGGACATCACGCGTCAGGCCAGCAGCTCGAGTGGAATCCCCATGGGAAGCGACGAGTTGGACGTCCGAGGGTGACATGGAGGAGGTCGTACGAGGAAGAAATGAGAGCTTCTGGGCTGTCGTGGAGCCAGGTTGAAAAGATCTCAGAGAACAGAGGTCACTGGAGACGTGCTACTGAAGCCCTATGTTCCACTAGGAACCCAAGAGACTAATAATAATAATAATAGTGAAGAAAATTTACCTTTCGACGATTTTACATACTAAAGCTGTTCATTTGTATTTATCAGAATTCAGCTTGATAGTTTATGGAATTTCAAAGTCATTTCCTTGTTTTTGGCGAAGAAAATATTGTACTTTGTTTGTGTTCAAGGATTCGGAAGATCTGCCCTGAAGATACATTAGATAGTTTAGGAGTCTACATGATATTCTACTAGATAATGGATATTCACATAGATTCATCGACTGTAAACTTGAAGAAAATTCATCAGCACAACAGTTACAGATCATCTTTAAGAAAACCTTCTGCACTGGCCTGCAATAATCATAGGTGATATAACAGCCGAAACCTAGGAAAGACGCATACCAATACCTTTTAGGAAGATATTTCACGTAGCTTATCTGAGAATCCCATTCACCAGTAGGCAATTAATCTATTAAGGTGTTGAGGAGAGAATAGCGTCTTTGACTGCCTCAGTTTGCATTTATCACTTTTTATTTGTTTCTAGGGCACAATATAGATTAGCCACACACAGTGTCAAGTCCGTAAACCCACTTTGGAATGTTATGCAGCTTGGTTATCCAGAGGAGAGGGAAAAATATCAACAGTTCTATTCCTAAACAACTCATCATCTCCTTACATCTGATCCATCCTTGTAGTTCTTCAGAAGTAATTTACCCAGTACCTTCATAAGATTCTAAAGGACTACAATTATGTCATTTAGGCATGGAAGAATCAAGTGGTTATTTGCAACCTTAAATCTGATCTTTATGCTCAAAAGTACTGCGTATACACACTAACACTTCCATGACTACACATGTGATTTCCTCCCGTCCTTAGAAACAGCATTTTATTCTCCTCTTGGAGGTTAAATTAGTGTATGCAATCACAAAAAGAATCTATCCTTAGCTATTACATCTTTGTTCTATAACACAACATCAGTTCGATCGGAGAAGATTTGGAAACTATGATCTTGATTTATCCACTGCATCGATATTTCCCTGTTTATTATTGTCATCAACACTCGGTAGTAGCGAATTTCATGAGGGAGTAATCAAAATATTTAAAATAAGCATTAAATTGAACAAGATGAGAGTTGTAAATCATTAGTTGAGTCAGGTGATTTTCAACCAATGGGTCACTAGCTCGAACCCCATCCCACTTATCAAGGTATAGGCAGATAACCATATGAAAAGGATAGCTCACTGCCTACTGCACAAAAGTGTATATGATTGCTGCACCACGTTCAACAAGGTTACATTAGTTAATTCCTTTTAGAATTTTAGCTTTATTTAAGCTCAACTTGTCAGTATGTTTTTTAAAACTTATTATTACACATGTACTTTATTTGTTTATTCTTCTTAGGTGCTTATAAATTACTATCTAGATCTGATGATCAACTGAACACTTCTAATCAATCAACAGAACATTCTATTTATCTTCAACAAATCGACAAAGAGAAGTACCAACATGACAATTATCACCATCATTATTATCAACAACAACAACAACAATCGGTAATATCTAATTCTCATTTGTATGATGATCATAATAATGAAGGTGAAAATAAAATGCTTTTTGATTCATTGAACACATTCTGGTTAAATCAGTATACAACATTGAATTCATTAGAGTTAGCTAAACTTTTTAAACAATATATAAATTCTTATCAGCATATGACAATTGCAGTATCATTAACACAATCGACAAAATCTGTAATCAATAATGATATTCCAGTTATCAACAGTAATATTATAACATTGAATGATGATACAAAGAAAAATCATATTTTACATAATACTTCTTATTCATATAATCATAATCAACCATTTTCACATGTAATTCACCCAAATTTATTGAATATAGAATCTATTAGACGAATAAACAATTCACTAGATAAATATACTTCAGATATAATTAAAGATAATTCAATTGGTATAAAATCATATGCATTAAATCAACATCAACAAATTGAAAGAGAGTCATTGAACAATGTAACAGAAATTTCAAATTCAACAGTTCAACATTCCAGTAGTGAAACCAGTGATACTAGTATTAATATTAATAATAATAATGACACAATATCATCAAGTATTCTTCATACAGTAACAAAACGTAGAAAACGTCGTATATTGTTTAGTAAATTGCAAACAACTAAACTAGAACAATGTTTTAATGAGCAAAGATATTTGACAGCATCAGAAAGGGAGCATTTAGCCAGAATATTAAATTTAACACCAACACAGGTAAGAAAGTTTGCAATCTGTTTTGATTTCTTTTAAGAGCTGAAGACAAAATATACTCTGTTGTAAATGTTTAGATTGAAATTCATTGGGATCCTGTTGTGTCTGTGTAATTAAACGACATTATGCTTCAAGTTGTTATTCATCGAAGACTGACATGAGTTGGAGGAACAAAGGAAACCTGGGAGCACTGAACAGCTGTTTCGCCCTAGTATGCGACTCCACAGCAGAGAGCACCCACGACCCCACCAGCAGGGATCGAACCCGCGACCTTCAGGTACCATGGCTGGCACATTACCATTGAGTCACTGGGTCAGAATCCAATGCTCCATATATCCAACTTCTGTTAGCTCACGATGCTCATTGGTGACTAGCTTCGAGAAGTATTCCCGAAGTTCCAGTGAGAATTGGTGTCGTGACCGGTAGGGGTGAAGACTGATAATCGTGAGGACAGTTACTCAACGATGACATTGGGCGGTGGTTGCGTTATATCGTGAGCTAACAGAAGTTGGAAATATGGACGTTTGCATTCTGACCCGGCTCAATAGCAATGTGCCGGCCACGGATTCGATTCCTGGTGGGGTCGTGGGTGCGCACTACTGAGGGTTCCCATACTAGTCGGACGAAACAGCTGTCCAGTGCTCCCAGGTTCCCTTTGTTCCTCAAACTGATGTCAGTCTACGACGAATTACAATTTGAAATATGCTTATCATCAACTCATCGGATGGTGAAAAACGAGACCACTATAGGCGAACAAAATATTTATTTCATGACTTAGGTAATATCTGATAAGATTGAGTAGCTATTTCGACTGAATAGATTTATACATCATGGTGATACATGTTGGTTATTCTGACTAAGGTCAAATAGGACACAAAGGACTTTTATTGATCAACTTGAAAGGTAGTCATAGTTAGTCACAGAATTAGTCATAGCCTATATCACTTAATATTATATAGTAATCCTGGTAACAACCTTGAAGGTGTATGCATTTTATTGCATATCCCTTTACTTTGATTGTATTGTACCTGTTAGTTGTAATCTAACTTGCAACATTAAAAAGGAAGGTACTGAAAGAAAGGTAAACAGAAAAATTAATTCTATTTCCACTTTGGGTAATCAGTTAAGTACACTATCATGAAGTTATGGTTTTTTGGCACTTTCGTCAATACTTATCCTACTTCTTACTGAATGATAAAAAAAGCAATGTCACTGTGGAGAACACTACTTATAAAAGTATATTAGTAATACATGTAGTGAAACAGCGAGAAACCCATGAGATGAAAAAGATAGACCGGTAAAGATAAGAAGGGGAGGAGGGTAGAAGAGATAAATCAAGTGAATATGCATGGGGTAAGAACTATATATTTAGATGCTAAACATCATCACCCTCTGCTCCGGCTTCTTGAATCCCATCAACTCAGTAATCCTTTTGAAATCGTGATGTAGTGTGCTGATAACTCCATCTTAGAACATTGCAAGCCAAGATGTCCTTATTCGGAAATTAGGAAGAGAAATTATTAACGAGAAATCCATAAAGTTTCAAATATTGTTTATTGAGTAATTACAATAGACAATTCTAAAGATGGTTAACCTAACAATAGTGTGACATTTCCAAACATTCTCCTGTTCAGAAATACTGGATAAGGGAATGTCTCATATATAAGTTGAAAACAAAAAAGTACAGATGTCAGGATCTTAGTAAGTCATCACGAATGAGATACATGCTCAGATGTAGAGAACAATGTTGCTATGGTGCATTCCTTAATTCCCAGTACAAAACTGTTTAAAATTGTGAGTATACTACTAAAGGGAGAAGTTAATATCACGTGATTTAACTAGATGCAGTATCAAAGTTCGCCTGTGAAATGACGTCTGCATATTAAACATTTACCAAAAGCAGTTGGTAATATTTTTAAATGAGTTCGAAAATTCTTAACTTTATTTTTCACAAAGACATTGATTTCATGAATTACAACACTATTTAGCGTTGAATCTAATCATCAGTTTTCTTAAACATATTCAACAGAGGTATATCTATAACTTATAATCATAGCTATAACTATGGCATAGGTTTTTGATACAATTAACTTGATGTTTTATTCTACTTAGAATACGTTAAGTAGCATGCAATGTACACTGAGCTACAGTCAATCTACAATGTTATGTGAGTTACATCTCCAATGTATTATGTAAATGAGTTCTTCAACTCATGGATGCAGCAGATTCAATGTAATCAACTATAATGGCCTGCTCGAACTTTGGGTTACAAATAAACATTTTCCTTCTCAGTTTGTTTTAATCCTTCAAATATGTCCTTCAAACGCATCACATACTCTTGAAGATTTTTAAAATGTTCTAAACTAACATTTTTTTTTTTTGAATTACTGAAAAAAAAAACGAAGGAAAAGTGTCATGTTAGACGGAAATGGACTTTTAAATCCACAAAAATATATCATATTTCTATCCCTTGGATACCTATGTCGAATAGCACATTCGTCTAACGGTTGAATGAACCATCACCACTAAACACTGGATGCTAATCCAATACCGACCGGCTGCTTCACATTTTTGCCTTTCGTACCGTTATTATAAACAGCATTCAGATGCTGTATAGTGCTCATTAGTGACTTGCTTCCAGATGGATATCACGAAGCTCTAATAAGAAGCCGTGACCTTTGGGGTCAACCAGTCGTAAGTGAAGCGGATGCTAACTTAAGACCTTGCGTGCTAGTCGCACTATGTCGTGAATTGACAGAAGTTGGAAATTGTGAACCACTGGAAAACCGACCCAGTGGCTGAATGCTTAACGCGTTCACCGTGAAACCCGAAGATCCAGAGCTCGACTTCTGTCCGGCTCGTGGGGTGCGTACTGCCCAGGAGTCTTATACTAGGACAGCTGTTTAATGCTCTCAGATTTCCAATGGATCTGCGCCTGATGTCAATCTATGGAGAATCCTACTTCTCAAATGTACACACTGTTTGAAAATAGCCTTTTAGGAGTGGATTTCTTAACCAAACATACTGTTTGAATAAAGCTTTTATTACTATGTATGTTAATTACAATTTAATAATCGTTTAATCTCTTTGTTTAAAAAAACAGGTGAAAATTTGGTTTCAAAATCATCGTTACAAAATGAAACGTGCAAATCAAAATGATGAATTATCCCCAAGTACATTGAAAAAAAAATCAGATGGAGGCATATCTATAGCAGAAATTAATTCACCATCATCATGGACTTCAAGATGTTTAATAACAACTAACTCAGATTGGCAGAGATTAAGAAATGATGAAAGGGGCTCTGCAAGAAGTCAGATACATGATCCAAACCAGATAATACAATCCAAAGATCAGAATTCTATTTATCAGCATAAAATTATTCATCCTAAAATGTCCAAAGAAACTAATGTAAATGTCAGATCATTACATAATTCAAAAGATCCGACTCAACCAATAAATTATACTGATTTATTCCAAAAATCGTGGATAGCCAATTGGTTCCAAATGATTTCTGATCCCAGTGTAAGTGATACCACTAAGATGATCAGTGAAGGTCATTTCCATAAAACAGAAAATGTAACAAATAATTACGAAGCTTCTAAATATACGATCGATAATATTGGGAATCATTGTAATGATGAGTTAAAGGGATGTGGTTCTGAACTATCGCCGGTAAGCAGACTTTACAAATTTGAACAACTCTATCCATTTAAAAACTCCAATGATGCAATTCAATCATCTCTTAAACCGATTCAAATGCATCAACCTGTTGTAGAACTTGACCACTAAACACCTTCATAGCATGAATTAGCTAGATTTTTCTGTATTGATAATCATAATTTTAATGAACCTGTAAACCTGATCTAAACTTCTAATGCACACAAATGACACAAATAAGGTTAACCAGAAATTAGTAGCATGTAATACGAAAGTGCTTTTCTTGGTTCTCCTTCAAACCTATCTCAAAAAAACTATTTCAAAAGCGAATTTATTTCTTGAAGAAACTAACTAGTCTCTAAAACATGTTCCAAACTAAAAGCAGAAATTCATAATGTATACGAGCATAGCTTATTGAAACCATTACACTCACAAAATATATCCGAAACGTTTATACTACTTATAAGTAGTCAGATGTCAAATTATAAATACTTAAACTGACTTGGCTTTCTCCGATTTTTATTTCATTTTCGCTAGAAGTATTATCGTTGTGTCACATATCATGCAAGTTTTATTCATTTATTAGACAACTTAACTTCAATAAAGTGAAACAGGCTGTGAATAGCTAGACCGTTGGCACAGCTTATCTAGGGAGGTTTTAGTTGGTGAGCAGTAGTATCGCCGGAAAAGATAATCGCAATATAGAATGAGGAAAATTGTCTTCTGTCTCATCTCTGCTTCCAACTACCAGTATTTTAGTTTCTGTAACGTTTTCATTCCAAATATGAGAAAATTGTAGTGCTTCTCAAGCACCATATAAAGAAATATTCATATTATTATTTTCCCATAGTCATGTATAAGAAATGAAGACAAATATATCCGATAAAATCAAACCGTTCCATAAGCTACAGCAAGTGGATAAAGTGAAAAAGAATAACATAACAGAAGGGCAAAGTTGTTTACATAATCGAGACAAGTATTAGTAGTAGTAATAGTGTGAGTACCGATAGTAGTATCCTTGTGAGTACCTGTTATCTGCAAATCATTTATATTTTTTCAGTCGGAGAAATAGGAGATATATGTGGCATATACTTTGATTTTTAAACAATGGGAAACAAAACAAAGACACAACATCGAAGAAAACTTTACTGTCCAAGATTTCATTTGCTAAAGCTGTATTTAAAGTCATTAGAAACAAAAAGCAGCCAATACTATTGAAGACATCACGTACCAGGCCCTTGAGTGGAACCCAAAAAGGAAACGATGAGTTGTAGGGCCGAGGGCGACATGAAGGAGATCGTGTAAGGAGGAAACGAAAGCTTATAGGTAGTTGTGAAGCCAGGTTGAAAAGACTGCAGAGAACAGAGTGAAATGGTGACATGCTACTGAAGCCCTATTTTCCACTAGGAACCCAGAGGACAAATAATAATATGATAAATACTGTATAAGACAAGAATAGGGAGTTTCTAAGGACAGAACGAAATTAGCACTATGGTAAGACTACTGAATGCACTTGATGCTTTTGAAAGGAGAGATTAGGTTTCAGGTTGTGAATTTCCAATTATCCGACCATATATAAATGATGAGGTCAAAAAGCTTTGGGACTGTGGGGAGGTACTATAGAAACAGTTCAATATGGGCAGCCGGAAAGTGTCAACTGCCCACACGTTTCCAGTAGTACACATGACCCACTCAAAAATAACCACCTCCTTTGCCTTTACCTGCTGATACTAATGTTAAGCTTTTCACACCTTTCCCAACCTCTCATTCCACGACCATTACCGACAACCAAAGACATCGGAACCTCATTTCTAGCCTCTTGAGACCCGCCATCGACCTCATATAGGAGCTTTCAATGCCCGAACTCTATGCCAAATCGGACAGCAACCATCACTCGACAGGACTCTGGAATCTTCAGCCATGGATGTATGCAGTGTCTCTGAGACACGTGTATAGGGCCTGAGTGTGGTTATTAGATTGATCTCACCTAATCAGTGCGGTGAGTCTTGAAAGTTCCCCTTACGAGTATCCGCAAACTCAATGACTAGCTCTCGTGGACACGCTAGTGTAGGCACAGCATTGAGTTGTAGGGCAGAAAGTGCGCTTCTCGACTGGATGGATGGATATCAGTCAACATCCGTCTATATGCTGTTCGACCGAATGGATTTGTAAGAACTAGGAAGGAGTGTGAGACCAACCGATGCTTATTCGTAATCTCTGTCTACGCACCCATTGACTGCAGTTTGGATGATGCAAAGGATGAATTCTATGAAAAGCTGTCAGTTTCGCTACGGGAAGTAAAACTTTCAGATGTATTCATAATGGCAGGTGACTTTAACGCTCAATTAGGGAAGCTGAGCCAATCGAAAAGGGTATCTGGGAGGTATCTATGAAATCTTATGCCAACGAACTAACAACGATTATCTTCTGTAGCAATTTTATTCTGAAAATCACTTGTTTTCGGTCAGCACTAACACTAAGCCCAAGAAGAGGTAATGTCTCACATGACGTCCGCCGACATCAAGCCAACGATGAACATAGATAGATCATATTGCCGTAAGACATCGTTGGAGGTTTGCTGCTTTTTCTGGAGTAACTGTTTGGACTTCGAATACGCCCTAGTACAGGCTCATGTAAGTCTGTGTCTTACTGGTTACAGGAAAGAAGTGACACTAAAGCCTATCTAAGGTCGATTAGAGGACGAGAACATCAAGTCTGAATTTAGGGAAGAGATAGCTAAGCATATATCTAAACATAACAGCAATCCTCATCTTGAGGAAACATGGCGTGATATTAGGTCTGGTGTAGAAACAGAGGTAAAGATGATTGGTAACCGACATATGAAAGTTGGCAAACATCATTGGATTTACGAGACGTAATCTGAACTTAATGATGCGAGATGACTGATTTTAGCTGGTTCTGACCACTACGAAGAGTGACAGCAACTTAAACGTAACCTGAAAAAGAGTCATCACCTCGACCACGATGGGTGGTGAAAGACAGAGAGAGAGAGGGCATCAACGTTAGATGACACCCAGAAACTGTTTAGGCTTATTAAAGATTCCAACGAGGAGGAAACTATGGTTAGTGAAACCATCACCAAAAAATGATGGAACGCTGATAACCTCTCACGACATATAGCTAGAAATCTGGGGGGAACACTTTGAAGCACAGTTCAACTGGCCCACAACAACACTTCGGTTGCCCAACATCCAGTCTGAACATGAATGGGACGAGAATGTCGGTCGTCCAACTTTCCTCGAAGTTGAGGAAGCTGTATCTAACCTAGAACGGTGCAAAGCAGTAGGACCGGACAGTTTGCCACCCAAACGTTTAAGGAAGGAGATGGAAAATTACTGATTTGAGTAATACAGGTACCAGATAATGTATGAGAATCAGAGGTAGTGTCGTCAGACTGGTCTTCTTCGCTGATCATCCCAGTCTATAAGAAGGAGAGAAGTCTTGTGACAACCATAAAGAGGAATTAGTTTGATTAATATTGTATCCGCGATCCGAGGATCCATAGTTAACCGATGCCTTACTTACTGTAGCTCGAGAATGGCAAACTCAAGAAAACCAACCAGGCTTCAGACCTGGACGAGAGTGCATCAGTCATGTTTCCATCCTCCAACAGGTTCTGGAACACAGGCACACCTGCCGACCAATGGCCGACGCTTGCCATATTTCGGGACCTGAAAGTGAAGTTCGACTAAGTCAACCGTGAGGTGTTGTGGTAGTATCTGACTGCAAAATGGGTATCTAGCACGTATGAAACGCTAGTCAAAGCTCTCTACTCGAACTCAGACAGCCGTATCAGAGCCTGTGGAGAGCTGTCATGTGAATTCACGACAGCCGGTGGTGTCCGGCAGGGGTGTTCACAGTCACCGTTTCATGTCCAATTCCGTCATTGACATACTAATGGGCAGAACCTTAGGTACGTCTGACTTCACACAGATTAATCCACTCCCTGAAGGTCATCTGGTTGACTTGCTGTATGCAGATGATATTGTCCTGCTAGGTGAAAATGCTGACAAAATACGGGGTCTTCTGAAAGCATTAAGCAGAAATCTGAGTATGTTTGGCATGCTTTTCACTGGCACCTGTCAAATATAAGATGATGCTGTAGGACTGGTCTGTTGCAAGTAATCCCAGTTTAACGGTAGGGAGTGATGTCTCAACCACTTCACTTACTAAGGGAGTTGCTTCAGCCCGAACAAGTTGGTTGCTGATGAAATCTCAGCCTGGATAGAGAAGGCTCGTTTGGAATTCGCCAACTTGCGTCATCTGTGGGACCGACTGGTGAGATATGCAACTATCTGTCAGAAGACGAGTATACTGCACTGCAGTCCGTTCTGTCCTGTTATACGGCTATTGAAAAGAGAAGACATGAAGTGATCAAAGGGTTATGATCATAGATGTCTACACAGCATTGCTTAAGTTTAGTGGGATCACCGTGTCAGGTATGCTGAGGTCAGGCGAAGGATACTAGGCGAGTCGATTGATAAGGTTTTTAACCTTCATTGTATGAAGTGGCTTAGAAATGTACTGCGCTCGCCTCCCTCGATGTATTACGCTAAGGGAAGCTGAATGAGGTTGGAAGGAGGTTCAGAGTGGTCAGATCAAGATGTGGCACCAATGTATGAAGTCTATTACTATTAGTCTGAGTCATGTTAGGAGATGTAGACTGCTTGATTCGGGCCCTCAAGACGAAAGGAATAAGGAATCTTGGTGACATGGCTGACAAGTGGCAAAGATGCATTCACTGCTCAACACCTAAAGCTTGAATATTCTGCACTGACTGTTATCTCCAGAATGTTTATTCTCTCAAACTACTTCACTCACTTTGATATCACTCCAATTCTTTCTTTTTTACTGCTTTGAAGTGTGGTAACTAGAGCCGATACATCCGTGTGAGAAGTTCTACGTTGATTCTGACTGTCTGTCTAAGTCAAAAGTGGTTACAGAAATAGATATCGAGACGTAAATCGCTCTCGCTGTGTTCAGCTGCTTCTTGATAATGCATAGACCTCATGTCCTCTTCTTAAAACTAAGATGGAATAAAATGACTATCTGGATATTTCTTGCAGTCCTTCACTAACAAATATATGTGTGTATAGAACGACCAATGATCGGAGTTCAAGTAAATACTCTACAACTAATGAAAACGCTTCACTAAGGACTAGTAACAATGTGATGTATATGAGTTATCATCCACTTGCTGTTAGTGGACTATACGTCAGACTAGGTCTCTTCTAAAGTTTGAAGTGAGCAATGATTAGAAACTAGTGGTTATCACACTAAAACCTGACTACACATCTAAGAAACTGAATGTTAAAACAACAAATAATATGATGACCTACGAAACGCTTAGTAGTCCAATAGGAAGCAACCTCTTACTTGTAATTGTTTATCCACAATGAGAATGGGGGAACTGGTTGTACAAGCGCAACAAACAATGCATTCTTATAGAGCAATTTAATAATCGTCGAACAAGGCATTTCATTGAGTTGATTGAAAATATCGTAACCCACTGAGTTTACAAAGGATTTAACCAACTAGAAAAACTAATTACCTACTTCAGAAAGATTCTGCCTGTATTCGTAACCGAATATGTGTTAATCGGTCACCATACTGATCACAAAGATCTCTAACTAATTTCCAAGTAAAATCAAAGTGCCATAAGTCAAAACAGTAAGAAAAATACCGAAGGTGAAAACCTACTGTACATCATGGTGTACAAATTAGAAGCGTATATACACACATTTTGAAATCGAAAGTCTTATTACTTCATAGAGAAGTTACCTAGTCTGGTGACGTAACTTCCGTGACTCAAAGATCACCCTAGCAACAACTGAAATGACCAGTTAGACTTCTTTATTTTATGAAAAACCTGCTTTTCTAGATAAAATGAGGAACTCTGATTGGTTATTTTGATCTTTGCTAGGGTGGCCTTTAAAGTAGCCCTGAAAAACTTATATGGGGATAGAGAAATGACTAGTCTGCAGAGGGACTAACCAAAATGTAGTTTATGTTATCATTTATTTAGTTAGACAGACAAACGGCGGATTAGCCAATCAATAGGATTATTTTAAAGAGCGAACTATATATATATATATAGTATTTTCCTTTGGTTTGGGTTTTCGATCTTCCAACCGCACCACACGTTTCTACGGCTGACTTTAAAGGCCACCACCCTAGCAACTGACGAGACAGGTAATTACATCCCTTTATTTTATAGAAAAGTACTTTCCCAGGCAGAAATACCAAGGCCTGATTGGTTATTTCAGTTGTTGCTAGGGTGGCCTTTAGAAGTCAGGTCGTTTCTACACCTCCATCATACCTTCTTCATTAATTAGTCAGGTAGGGAATCAACTAGAAATTTGTTGAATGTTGGTGGTCGACACTCAATATCCCCCTGCATTGTTAGCGGCCATAGTATGCAGCAATTTCATAAACCATAACAAAAACACTGAACAATGGTCATTCACATCCTGAGCAACAAATCTCCTCCACTATCACAATAAGCTGTCATTCACAATCTATGCGGTATTTATCAATGGTAGAATAAAGAATTAGAGAAATCAAGTCATATCAAGTATATTTTCTGTCTGATTAACTGAACAGTTGATAAAATCAAAAAGCCAATGCACACGTCAAACGAAATATAAAAGAACAAAAAGACAAAATCTCACAGACAAGAAGGTCAAGAATCTTGAGAACACCGTGACCAAGGCTAATGATATAAGAATAGTAAAGACCCCTCTCTAGGTAAAGTCTCAAACAGTCACGCAAAAGGAATTTGAAGAAAGAGTAGTCCGGTCAGTAAGAAAAGAAGGAGCATAAAAGAAACAGATAATCTTCAATAAAATAAACATAGAACTGTACATATGTGCAAGAATACATCCACCTAGACAGAGGACAAGAATCCTTGTAATTAAAAATCACCTAATGACTGATGTGAACAAGAAAATATGTTTTTAACAAAGTTCTTATGACAGACATCCAGAAACTGCAGCCACTTTACTCGGATTAGATATTTCTTCACCGAGAGAATCTAAAATCTCACGACGATAATCATCGAAATCACCATCAATTTCATTGATTCCAAGATCTTCAATAACCCATAGAATACAATTTGTATCTCGAATAAGACGTTCATCATGGCTGACAACAATAACACCTGTAAATAAAAGACACCAGTTAAGTAGGATATGATGCATCAGAACAGAAATATGACTTAAATATATGGAAAAAAAAACAAGCTTTACAGAACGATAAATATTTCCTCCCAAAACTATCCTTTAGTATTGAAAATGAATGACTCTACTATTTATCCTATGAACTTAAACAACAAATTTCTAGCTAAGAGTCCATAGAGTTTGGATCTCAGATGAATAACAATAACTACACAGTAAATGTGGTGAATAGAGTAGTATAGTATTGAGTTTCTAAGCTGTGTATTATAAGTGCGATCCACCAGTAAGACATTCAGCACAATCTACTCTTATTCGCCTCAATCTTCATATCTCACTATGAGTGACTACTCGCTAACAGAGACTAATGAATCACAAAATTTATGATAAGATGTTTGTAAACAAAAGTGGTTAAATTAGTAGATTGAACTGTGTGATTATCTATTAAGGGTCTAGTGTACTATGCTGCAGTCCTTTCTGTTCTACTCTATGGCTATGAAAGATGGCTATTAAAGGTAGGAGAAATGAGAAGGCTTCAGGTGTTTGACCACCATTGCCTTCGTAGTATAGGCTGTTTCGTGGTGTTACCATGTGAGTAACGCAAAAGTCAGACGTAGAGTTTTAGGCAAGAGAGGTAAGACAGTTGATGCGGTTGTAAACCTGGAATGGGACATGTGTTACGCATGCCTAACTACTGTCTGTATTGTCACACAATGTTGGCCAAAGTAGGTCCAGGCTGGAAAAAGGTTCGAGCACCAATGCCTGAAGTCATTGACTATTCGTTTGAGCCATACAGGGTGATACAGACTAGCTGGTTGGGGTCCGCGAGACAAGAGAAACCAGTGGTTAGACACTCTAAGTGGTATGGCTTAGAACCGATGTTAGTGGCGCAAATGCATACATATATCATTCTCATCTTAACCGCTATACCTAATCTCACCATCTTCTCATTCTTCCTTTTTCTCTTTTACCACTTTCTACTTCTACTTCCTTTGACTGATTTTTCTTTTCCACTTCATCTTCCACTTTATTGCCTTGTTATCTGATGTGCTGATATATGAGGTGTGGCATCTTGGACTGTTACACAGTAATGCCTGATCCCACGTTCATATTGATAATGATGGTGATGCTCAATTTCACTCAGTTAACTGTCATCAAAGGCAAAATAATCGGATGTAATCACAGAGAAATGTTACACGATAATCTAAAGTTGATTTGTAATTTTGATTCAACATACACTGAGAGGATATTTTTTAGACAAAGAAAGCAAAATTATTATATACATGTAAGATTTTGTTTAACTCACCGCCTTTATATTCATTGATAGCATCAGCTAATGCATCAATTGATTCAATATCTAAATTATTTGTCGGTTCATCTAATATTAGGATATCTGGAGCACGACGTGATAATTCTGCAAAAGCAACACGTGCACGTTGACCACCTGATAAATCAGCATTAGGAATAGTGTGTGCATGCGCTTCTAAGCCAAATTTACCCAATGTTGCACGAGCATCCTAAATATAAAAGGAAATCATATTAAATTAAACTAATTCAAGGCTAAATTAATCATGATCATTCACTAATATATTTACTTGTAGCATCAGTCACCGTTTTAAATACAATACTTCATCTAAAGCTGACTGATTACTCGATACTAAACGATAAACACTACTCAAAAGATAAGCATGATAAGATATTAAAAATACTATAATATTATAATATTTCTAGACATTTATAACAAATGAGGTCTGAATAGTTATGATGAGTTCTCAGTATGATACAACATCATCTTTAAGTTTCTATGAGACGTAATCTCATCATACACATACATACAGATGTTGATAAACACTATCGTTCAATGTTCTCATAAATACAAAAACTATTCATGACCTACAAACCTGTTTTATGAACAGAAAATAAACACTAATATAGGTGTAAAACTTGGGAACTGTGGTAGAATTTAATTCCCTATTAGATTCGTTTATTTGATTCATTTCAAGTTGTTATTCATCGTAGACTGACATCAGTTGGAGAAAAAAAGGAAACCTGAGAGCACTGGATAGCTGTTTCGTCCGACTAGTATGGGACTCCTCAGCAGTAAGCACCAACGACCCCACACCAGCAGGGATCGAACCTGCGACCTCCAGGTTCCGTGGCCAGCACGTTACCTTTGAGCTAACCACTGGGTCACAATCCAATGCTCCATATTTTCAACTTCTATTAGCTTACGATGTAGCACAACCGCCACCCAATGTCATCGTTGAGTAACTGTCCTCACGACCATCAGGCTTTGCCCCCACCGGTCGTGAGGACAGTTACTCAACGATGATATTGGGCGGCGGTTACGCTATATCGTGAGCTAACAGAAGTTGAAAATATAGGCGATTGGATTCTGACCCAGTGGCTAGCTCAATGGTAACGTGCTGGCTACGGAACCTGAAGGTCGCGGGTTCGATGCCTGGTGTTTCGGGATCGTTGGTGCTTACTGCTGAGGAGTCCCATACTAGTCGGACGAAACGGCTATCCAGTGCTCCCAGGTTTCCTTTGTTCCTCCAACTGATGTCAGTTCACGATGAATAACAACTTGAAATATTTCCAAATCTCCACAACTCCCTTAAAATTTATTTAATTTATAACACACAGAGTGATCTAGTATTATTTACTTCATGACGTTGTCCAGTATCAATTATTGCTCATAATCATATCAATAAACACTACAGATGCCTAGTTAATCAAACAGAAGTGCATAAAATACAATTTTATTGATTCAAATAAATTCGATTATCAGGAATACATGAAACATCGCCATCTTAAATCGAAAATCTCCGAAAAAACAATTACTTTCAATTAAATTTTGAGGGAGTTGTGGAGATTTGGAATTATTTCAAGTTGTTATTCATCGTAGACTGATATCAGTTGGAAGAACAAGGGAAACCTAGGAGCACTGGATAGCTGTTTCGTCCGACTAGTATGGGACTCCTCAGCAGTAAGCACCAACGACCCCACCAGCAGGGGTCGAACCCGCGACCTTCAGGTTCCGTAGCCAGCGCGTTACCATTGAGCTAGCCACTGGGTCACAATCCAATACTCCATATTTCGAACTTCTGTTAGCTCATGATATATAGCGCAACCGCCACCCAATGTCAACGCTGAGTATCTGTCCTCATGGCCATCAGGCTTTGACTCCACCGGTCACGATTTCTCATTGGAACTTCGGGAATACTTCTCGAAGCTAGTCACCAATATCGTGAGCTAAGAGAAGTTGGAAATATGGAGCATTGGATTCTGACCCAGTGGCTAACTCAATGGTAACGCGCTGTCCGCGGAACCTGAAGGTCGCAGGTTCGATCCCTGCTGGTGTGGGGTCGTGGGTGCGCACTGCTGAGGAGTCCCATACTAGTCGGACGAAACACCTATCCAGTGGTCCCAGGTTTCCTTTGTTCCTCCAACTGATGTCAGTTCACGATGAATAACAACTTGAAACAATTACTTTCAATCAGATTGTTTTGAAGAAATTAAATTTATGCAGATATCTTAAGACTTATTCAAAGTTACTCATCAACTCAAATCTATGATAGTAAACTCATTCAACTTCTTTCTACTTACTGATTTGTAGACTAAGGGAATCAATTTTTCAATCCCTATTAGAGTGCTCAATATGGAATCATATAATCCAATAGAATGTAAATTATATCAAACGAATTACATAATACATATATATATATATATATATAACTTACTTGATAAGTTAGATTGAAAAGGCGTTGTAAATATTCAGTTGGTGTTTCACTTAAATTCAATTGATCCGCTGAATGTTGATCATATTTCCCAATTTTAACACGATGATTTAATCTACGCTCACCTTGAGTCTAAATGGTTTAAAAGAAAAATGAACAAATACAATAATAATTCATTTGATGTTTTTATAATAGGAAACTATAGAGATAATAAAAAGGAATTATAAGTAATAAGTAGTAATAATATTCTTTTGAATCAGTGTTATACAAGTTATAAAATACTTACCGGTTCTACTTCACCTGTAAGTAATTTTAAAAATGTAGATTTTCCAACACCATTTGGACCAACAATTGAAATTCTTGACGTCATATCTATACCAAAATTTAAGTCTTTGAATAAACATTTTTGATTTGGATAAGCAAATGTAACATTGTATAATCCAAGTATAGGTGGAGAAATAGGAGTTGGATTTGGGAATGTGAACTAAAAGTAAACAAGATAAATTTTCTTGTAAAAAGATGTACAATTAAAATTTGATCATTTATTTTGAAACAATTAACGATTATGATCAACCAATCAACAGCATCCATTTCTTGACATTTACATTCATGAGTCAAGTAACATGTACCATACAGTTTGACTTACTATCCGCCCCCCCCCATAGGTACTTTAAACGTCAAAATTTACAGTTTTTACAAATCTATGACTCCATTTACTCTAGGAAAGTGTAAGAAAACTGTATAAGTGGGATCACATCATCATGAGTTGTCTAAGAGACGCATCAATAAATAAAGTGAATTTTATGGATAGACACACACAGCTGAATAACATATTACTTCTTTAAACTTACAACTGCTGATTAATTTCCAACTTCAGTATAAATAAATAACACGTAAAACATTGACACCACTTTTTAACACTTCAAATGTGTAGACCAATAAAAATAACAATGCTATTCTTGTAACTAGAAAAAAACTACTATACTTTTATGTATTTTTGAGATGAATGGGGATTTTTGATTTAGAAGTACTATTCATCATGGACTGACATCAGTTGGGGAACCATTGGAAATCTGAGAGCACTGGGCAGCTGTTTCGTCCTAGTATGGGACTCCTCAGCAGTACGCACCCACGACCCAGCTAGGGGTCGAACTCAGGACCTTCAGGTTTCACGGCGAACGCCTTAACCATTCAGCCACTGGGTCGGTTTCCAGTGGATCACAATTTCCAACTTCTGTCAATTCACGACATAGCGCGACTATCACCCAAAGTCTTCAGTTCGCATCCGCTTCACTTACGACTGGTTGACCCCATAGGTTATGGCTTCTCATTAGAGTTTCGTGATATCCATCTGGAAGCAAGTTACTAATGAGCACTATGCAGTAATGTATTTTTGAGATGAATGGGGTTTCTTTTAATTTAGCAGTACTGCTGAGGAGTCCTACACTAGGACGAAACAGCTGTCTAGTGCTCCCAGATTTTCAATGGCTCCCCAACTGATGTCAATCCATGATGAACACTATTTCTATATTATACTTTTCTTAAATTCTCACTATCCAATAATAATAACCTGGCCTGGTTAATGTGACGGTAACATTTAAAAATGTATAGTATCGCAAACTTATTGTGAGAAGTCATTCTCACATGGTATATAAATAGTTTTAAGTAAACCACATCGACTCTGAAAATTTGTCTTTAATTAAGTGGAACCTACAACTATCTTCTCATACCGTTTAAGGCTGATCTGCATTGTAATGCAACATGATTTAAATCGTCTTAGATGATCTTCATTTTCACTAGACGTACTTTCTGAGTATCTAATTCTTCAAATATAATACTCATTTTTGTCATCTTTCTCCTCTTCTCACTAGTTGTACTACCTTCTGTTAAGGATGCCTAATCCATAAAAAAAACTAACTTATGCATATATTATCATGTAAAATGTAAGCCTTACTTCGTGCCTATTTTGCTCCACGTAATGTTACCTATTTTTACCATGATTTACAATACTAAACCCTGATTGGTTCATTTTACACTATTAATATGGAATTTGTCCGATTTTAAAGGCCCCCCAGCAACTGCTGTGATGTCCAATCAAGTTTCGGCATTCCGGTTAAAAAGGTAGTTTTTCGTAAAATATAGTACAAGCCTAGTTGGTTATCTCAGTAGTTATCAGGGTGGCCTTTAAAGTCATCCTGCTATTTTGTTTTTCCGCGCCAGAGTCGTCTAAAGGTATATAAACAGCTGGATTTCCAGCTGTAAGAGCACGATTCGGTTGAAAGAAATGTACTTTCAATCCGAATGTCTTTTTCTTCATCTCGTATTAGCTGAATATTATGTTGACAATTCATTGTTCTATTGTTAATCGTATCAAATCGAAGCATTATATGGTTATATATACCGCAGTTCATAACACTTTCATTAAATACTATTCTTACGTATTATGACTGGAATTTAGGATTTAAAACTAGCACTCCCAGAAAGAACAGAAAAGAGAAACATTTAATGTATTAGAAATTAACTCAGTATTTATAGACGGTACATTAATTTCTTCTTCATTTATAGGTGCACAGAATGCAACGTTTAAACAAACGTCGAATATTATGCTTATAAAAACTCAAACTCAGAGAGCAACAAAACTCTCAGTACAAACAGGAAGTTATGCATAAAAAATGTGATTTTATTTAAATAAATGATGCCTAGAAGATGAATACTCTCAGTCTTTTCTTCTTAACTGTATTAGTGCAGCATATTTTATACTTTTTACAACAACAGACGAATCAACTTTTAAGAAGTACCTATATATCTTATTAAATAATCTATGCATTGATCTGAAAACTAAGAGAGAATTCAATGGAAGGTTAGTGTAAATGCATTTGTTAAAATATATACTTGTCTACAGAGTGAAATGCATAAAATTACCTTTACAACATACTCCTTTGGTTTAGTTAGTAGTTGAGGTTTACCAATATTTGTATCGTCATTTTGAGCTGGTTTATTTTTAGCTTGTTTTCGTGTCAGTATATCACGTTGATTTTTCGCTTGAGCTTGTTTATTACTCATTCCAGATTGTTTTAATTCCTTGAGACGTCTTTCTTGCTTATCAAATTCTTTTTGCTGTTCTTTTCTACGCTGTAGTAACATACCTTTAAAACTAACTAGAGTAAAAGAATAAGGAATTTTGAGGGAGTTGTGAGGATTTGGAAATATTTCAAGTTGTTATTCATCGTAGACTGACATCAGTTGGAGGAACAAAGGAAACCTAGGAGCACTGGATAGCTGTTTCGTCCGACTAGTATGGGACTCCTCAGCAGTAAGAACCAACGACCTCGAAACACTAGGCATCGAACCCGCGACCTTCAGGTTCCGTGGCCAGCACGTTGATATTGAGCTAGCCACTGGGTCAGAATCCAGTCGCCTATATTTTCAACTTCTCTTGGCTCACGAAATAGCACAACCGCCACCCAATGTGATCATTGAGTAACTGTCCTCACGACCATCCGGCTTTGCCCCCACCGGTCGTGAGGACAGTTACTCAACGATGACATTGGGTGGCGGTTGTGCTACATCGTAAGCTAATAGAAGTTGAAAATATGGAGCATTGGATTCTGACCCGGTGGCTAACTCAATGGTAACGCGCTGTTCGCGGAACCTGAAGGTCGCAGGTTCGATCCCTGCTGGTGTGGGGTCGTGGGTGCGCACTGCTGAGGAGTTTCATACTAGTCGGACGAAACAGCTATCCAGTGCTCCCAGGTTTCCTTTATTCCTCCAACTGATGTCAGTCTACGATGAATAACAACTTGAAAAGAAAAAGGAATTTAAACAATGATATTAAATGTCAATCGTTTACGCAATAGTATGATAATAAAAAGATTAGTTAGGCTTAAGAATTAACAATTGAATAAGGACTGGGTATGACAAAGGTGCTTCGGGTTTCGATGATTGTATTGCCAAAGCTTTAGCAATGCAAAGTAAGCGTTTTCTCATACCTTCGGAAGACTACGTTATACTTTGTAAGTTACTACGAACAAATCTCCTAGAACTGTGTCTGCTTTCAACCAAATGCTGTAATATGCAGTTGTTGATTGATAAGTGTTAATCTTTACTCAGATATATTGGAAGGTACTGGCGTTGAAGAATCTGCCTCTGCGTACGGCCTATGTAACTAGCGCCACAGGAGCAGGTGAATTAACATATTCACATTGAAATGGTTAGCAGTGACAATTTGTCCTTAGCACACGAGTTCACCATGAGTGACTAGCACAGATGATTAGTAGAGTGGCTTCATAGACTGTTCATTGTATAGTCTTCATTAGTTTACGTTTTAGCACCCCATCTGCTGCATCTCCAATGAATTCCGAGTTTAAAAGTAGCTTTTTCTTCTCCACGGTGATAAGAGACTGGATAAGTAGCATTTCGAATAAGATTTCTATCCATGGATCTTTCTGGTCATTTACTTTTGATGAACATCGATCCTAACAGCAAAATTTCATCTTCTAAAGTATCCCCAGTACAAATCCTGTGGACTGGAGAGGAAAAGGAATGGATTAAATTTCTTTTCCGGCTGATGCGAACCGAGCTATGAAAGCATTTTGTTATTTGTCCATTCCAAGTACTTTCGATAAACTAATCCTTTCAGTGTCTCATCATCTCTTCTTGTTAACAATACGTCGAGGAATGGTATCTTTGGGTACGATTCCACCTATATTGTCCAGTTGCTCGAGAGTGACATTCATAGGAAAACTGTAGTACTTTCTGCAAGTCATAATTCTTATCACAAACAATGAGTACATCATGGAAATATCTTCGAGGAAATTTGAACTGCTTGATAACTGGGTTGAGTATGGCTGTTTCAAGTCTGACCATGAATACATCTACTAACAGTGGACCCAATGGTGACCCCATTGCTACCCCGTCTCCCTGGCAGCAAGTGTTACTAAGTCTGAACACCACATTTCTTTCTTATTCAACTTTATATCATAGACATACCTACACAGATCTCCTTCTCGTCATCTGACCAAGTCATAGGAGAATCCTTAGTTGATGTAAACACACAGATCACATGATCCTGTTAGGTTTAGACCCTAGCAGTATGCAGAGTTTTTTAAACATATTGAGTGGCAATTTGGATATGTTGGGAATGTTTCTCGCCACCCGAATGCAAATTATTGCTCTAGGAGTGGTCTTCAATGATCCCATCTTCAACAGTAGAGTTCTAGGGCGAGAAGGAAAGTCAGTTGACGAGGTGGTGAACCTTCTCCAGTGACTGAGGTGGCTGGGCGTATGTTGCGTATGCACAGTCACCAACTACTTCGTCACGTAATGTTAGCTGAAGTGGGTTAGCAGACTGAAAATTGGCCAGGGGCGGCCAGACTAAAACATGATATCGCCTCTTGGTCTAACCCTTGTAGTCAAACACAGACTTCCCAGTTAGGTTCACGCAACAACAGAAACCAGTGTTTGGAGACTTTAGGTGAAGCAGGTGTATCCACACATTATCCTCATCTAGGTTGTCATACTGAATTCAGTATTTTATTACTCCTCCTTTTTATCTTATCACTACTTTTAATCACTTTTGACTGCTTTCTTCTCTATCATTCGTCTTGGTGTATTCCCGTTTGATGTGGTGATGAGGTATGACAACTTGCACTAGTACACAGTAATGCCTGGTCTTGTGTTGATCTTGTCTATCTACACCACAAAGGATAAGTATTACAATTAATCGGTAAGTATACACAAAATTTACACTTCTCCAAATTATCTGTCTACAATAATTTCAAAAATTGTGATTAACAGTCCTAATTAGTAAAAATGAATGAGGAGAAAGAGAAGATCTGCTCTTAAAAGAAGAAAACGAAAACACTTGAAGCGTAAAATTAATAAATTAATAAACTGAAAGATATAATTGGAAAAAAGTCACAAGGTTTTAGTTTATTTCAGTCACACAGTACACAACCTGTAACCACTCTCATCTCGATGAATTAAATATTCGTCTTAAACATTGCAGAAATACACAACTAAAAGTGTTAAGAAGAAATTAGATGAATAAAAGATATTCAGAAAAATAACAATAACACGGTGAATTTAAACAGCGTAATGAGAAGACGAAGATTATCTGAAACATGTGATGTATTGGCGCTATACATTTCGAACAATCTGATCCCACTAACTTCATTGACCTTTTCGTAAATTTTCATATAAATAGTTCGACAAGTCCATGTGTGATCAGATTGTTCAAAATGTATAGCGCTAATACATCACGACATGTTTCAGATAATCTTCGTCTTCTCATTACGCTGTTTAAATTTATCAAAGGGACCAGTTGCTTTGAATAACACGGTAAGTTGTTTTTTAAGAAAAAAAAAGCTAAGAAATGAGTACAACTGGAAAGTAGGCTAACTGATTTCTTCAATTACAGATTCGTAGAATAGTATTATGCTCTAAATTTAATTATTTTGTCTGTTAAGAACCTCAGACTACCATTAAACACTTTTAAGAAGCAGTGAATGTTATGATTTTGAAAGTTCTCTTTAGGGTTTATTTTCTATGCAACCTATCACTTCAAATATGGCTTTGTGTTATTTAATAAGGTCTACAAAGAGTTTTTATACTTACTAACTAGCTGTCTAATACTCCATGAAATGGGAAGATGCTTTGAAAATAAGTTTTATATGGTATATTAACCAACAAATGATAAATTAATCTTTATGAGATTTTTATTATTTTCTTCTATAAAAAGAGGTACTTCCATTTAGGCTTTGAAGATATATTCTTGGTTGTATTGTGTTCTCTGAGTTGGATTGTTTAACCGCAAAGCTTTCATCGTTTTTCTGGACGACATTATCAGCACTAACTTCAGTATGATACAATATATCATTTCAAAAGTGTATTACAAATAGATGACTGTAGAACAGATCGCTTAACAAGATAGAGTCTTTGCTTGACAGATTCATTCAGTTAATGATCAGTGTATAACATAAAGATGATAAGATGGCAGAAATGTGTATATGGTTGATAATTGATAGAAAATGTATACATAGTTTTTATTTAGGAATGTTAGTCTTTCATTGAAAATTATTATCTTTCAACTTGAATAAACAGTCGAAGATACATATCAGCTTATACATTTGACGCTTATCATAAAATTCGTAACACTATAGATAGAAATGATCCGGATTTTCAACACTAACATCAAGTCACTGCTTCTGTATGGTTCAGAGACTTGGCGCGTTACGAAAGGCATTTCCAACAAACTACAGACATTCATCAATAACTGCTTACGCTGGCTCGCTACTGAAGATCAAATGGCCAGAAAGAATAAGCAACAAGGAACTCTGGCAACGAACCAACCAAGAACCTATCACCTAACAAATATGCAGGAAGAAGTGGAGATGGATTGGCCATGCACTGAGAAGGCCGACTGAGGACATCATGCGTCAGGCCAGTTGCTCGAGTGGAATCCCCATGGGAAGCGACGAGTTGGACGTCCGAGGGTGACATGGAGGAGGTCGTGCGAGGAGGAAATAAGAGCTTGTGGGCTGTCGTGGGACCAGGTTCAAAAGATCTCAGAGAAGAGAGGTCACTGGAGACGTGCTACTGAAGCCCTATGTTCCACTAGGAACCCAAGGGACTAATAATAATAAAATAGATAGAAATAGTATTTAAAACAAACCGGTTATATGTATTACATTTGTTAGAGTGAAGATAGTTATAGTTTATCTAAAGATGAAAGGAAAATTTGTCAAGATATAAATTTCATAAAGTTAGTAGTATTGAATAAAAGTTCAGTGAAGCAGTAAATATTATTTTTATTAACTAATTACATTTAATTGTGATAAAAGCATTCAGTAGCATAATATAGTTACATTTACATACAGTACCCATGTTCAACATCTGAATGTATAGTGTTCTTCTCCTTTATATTTCTACTCAATATTATAATTCCTTTCCTCTTGGTTCTACACTTGTTGGTTGTTATCACTTCATATTTCTCTTGATGATATGTTGCATACTACTTATTTACACCCTTATAAGTAGCTTTCAGCCAAGAATGATACTCGACATAAAGTAGCGGCAAAACAACAATCTGATGAGAGACGATGACGAAAATATTAATTACATCTTTTTTGGTAAATTCAGTTTAACAATTCTAAAGCTATTTAAATACAAAGATATTAACAGTCACCAAAATACTGTACACCTGGCTTTATTCATGATTTAAGTCAATCAACAGAGTATACTTTCAAGATATAAAATGAATGAATGAATATAAATCATATTAAACTGTTCACACATACATACATTTGAAAATATAAGCCTGAATATAAGGAACTTACTATAGTTGCCTCTGTAGTAGAATAGTTGACGTTGGTCTAAATGAATGATATCTGTACACACATTATCTAAGAATGACTGGTCATGTGAAACAATTAGAAGTGTTTTTTTCCACTTCTGAAGATAGCTAAAATAGATAATTAAGAGAAACAGTGTATCAGCAAATTTCTATATAGCCATAGAAACCCATGTATTCACGAAGTCAGATAATTTTTACAAACAATTGATAAAGAGTTGATTTTATTAGTCATTACAACGCTTGCAGTAAGCACTATTTATCATAAAGAGTTGATTTTATTAGTCATTACAACGCTTGCAGTAAGCACTATTTATCATAATGTTGTTGTTTACTGCCTGTGTATCAGTTTTATATTAATGACGGATAGTGGAGAGAAGTGGAATCCAGGAGGTGCGTTTCGTCTTATTTTGGACTCGTCAGATGGATGTACCCGGCTCCTAGTGAATGATGTTCCCTACAAGACCCGAACTCGGAAACAATACTAAAACTATACGCATAGCACAAGCAGTGGCTATCGTAGCTCGATAGTCTCATGGATAATGCCATAGCGTTTGGAGCCATCAGTCCCTAGTTCGAGCCTCGATGGGAACAACATCACTCACTAGGAGGCAGGTAAATCCACCTAACGAGTCTCAATCAGGACGGAAAGCGCATCCTGGATTCCATTCCTAGCCAATATCCATCATTAATATACTGTTTATCACGCTCCTGTGTTTTTCTGCGGTTCATAATTACACATATCAACTCAGTTACCAGTTAAGGCAATAACAATTGAAAATTGACTCTTTGTATGTTTGGTAAATGGACCTTTTTTCAAACATTTACAGTAACGTTTCTCAACACAATTCTATCTTTAATTGACTTCCGATATGAAGACATCATGAACACAGCACCATAAAGTGAATACTAAAGAACATAGTTTATGTATTAAACTATGAACAATATTCATTGTGTATAAGGGTTTATTATAAAGCAAATCTAAGTGAGGCATAAGCGGCAAGTTAGTAATCAGAAGCCTGAACTACTGAGTGGCTCATTCGATTCATCACAAATGAAGTTGGTTCGCGTTCATATGCAATTCAACTACAGGGTACGAGATTCATGATAACGCCAACCAGTTCACTGATATGCGCATTGAAAACAAATGTGTACAATCTTTTTCTTTGCTATGGTTAGCATAAAGGATTGATGACTCCAGATAAATCCCTTTTGATGCAATAATATTTTGCTATGTAATCATTTTCTTTAGTTTCCGTACCTTATATACCCATATATACTGTGTAATTTTCCTTTATCATGCAATTTATTTTGACCTTCGGAAAAAAATTACTCTGGAATGTTTTATCCTTTTTACTACATATTGATGAATATACAGTTAAGAGAATTAGTTCATAGAGAAAAATGTTTCTTTGCTGCAACCGTCTTCTATTCTCTCTTATGATATATTTGTGGCAACTTCTGTGTGAGATTCTACCCTGATTTTTGTCTATCTAGTCTGTGTAAAACTGTATGGACTGATTACTGGCAAAAACTTAGCGAGTATATAAAGAATCCTTCATTGGAATTAACAAATGATGTCAATAGAGATGTTAAGAAAATATCCAAAAATCCATTGAGAATTGCATATAAGAAATAGAAATGGGCTCTGTCTTACTGTACCAATGAGACATGATGGATGACTGAGGCAGATAGTACGAAGTAACAGGTATGTGATTATCAGTATCACAAAAGTCGTCGACTTAGCAACTATGAAGTTAGATGTACAGATTTCAATTTGGTTGACAGATCAATCAACAGATTTGCACAGCTGTGATAGTCAAGATGATTGGAACATACGTTGGAAATCCTAAATAATAGTCTATCTTCTTGTACTACAATGGCCTAAAGATAGTCATGTAGGTAATGGTGGTTATAGACTGGTATTATTTATGTAATTAAGTATTTTTTTTCCCAAACGGAATCAAGAGATACGAAACATTGAAGGTTAGAAACCTAATTTCATACGAATAATACAGTTTAAAGTCATATATATGTATTCTTTATCTTACAATGAATGTAAAACGTCTCATTGTGTGTAAAGATGAATTGACAGTTTACAGAAGGAAATTACTGTGAAGATAATCTGTAGGTTAACTTAACAATAAACCGTGTATTCCAATTGATATTTCAGTTTAAGACTTCAATAAAAATGACTTCGATTGTTTGCTGATTGTTTTATAGTCTTAATAAATAAAATCAAAAGATTGAAGTTCAGATCTACTGACTGTAAATTTCTCAACAATATCCAGACTCTAAAACCAAGACATTAAATGAGGTAAGATGTAATAAAAAAAAAACAATCTGAACTTCAAACAAACATTCAGTAAAGATCGAACCCGCGACCTTCGGGTTCCGCGGACAGCGCGTTACCATTGAGCTAGCCATTGGGTCACAATCCAATGCTCCATATTTCCAACTTCTCTTAGCTCACGATATAACGCAACCGCCATCCAATGTCATCGTTGAGTATCTGTCCTCACGACCATCAGGCTTGACTCCACCGGTCACGACTTCTTATTCGAACTTCGAGAAGTATTCCCGAAGTTCGAATAAGAAGTCGTGACCGGTGGAGTCAAGCCTGATGGTCGTGAGGACAGATACTCAACGATGACATTGGATGGCGGTTGCGTTATATCGTGAGCTAAGAGAAGTTGGAAATATGGAGCATTGGATTGTGACCCAATGGCTAGCTCAATGGTAACGCGCTGTCCGCGGAACCCGAAGGTCGCGGGTTCGATCCCTGCTGGTGTGGGGTCGTGGGTGCGCACTGCTGAGGAGTCCCATACTAGTCGGACGAAACAGCTATCCAGTGCTCCCAGGTTCCCTTTGTTCCTCCAACTGATGTCAGTCTACGATGAATAACAATTTGAAATATTTCCAAATCTCCACAACTCCCTCAAAATTCAGTAAAGAGTTATACAAAGACTAGCAGATAACAGATTGGTTTTTGAGAAAAAATTTAAGATACAGACAGGAAGATATAAGCAACGTTGCCAAAAATCATAGCAGCATACAAAGACTAAGTGGACAGAAAAGATTGATTCCTTTCGTCTCAAGAACCCTAACAAAGCAGTCTAGACCTTCTCACACTGCCCAGATTAGCAGTCAGAGACTTCATGTACTGGTGCTACATCTTGGTCTGGTCACTCTCAGCTCTCTTCCAAATTCACCTGGTATAGGACGTCGAGGTGGGCGGTAGCTTGACATGCGAAACTCATGTCCAAGCCATTTCAGTCAACTAAGGTTCACAACTTCATCAATCGACTTGCATGTTTTGCCTAGTAGCCTTCGCCTGACTTCAACATTCCTCACACAGTGGTTCCACTAAACGCGAGCAATGTTACGAAGACACCTGTGATCAAAACCATGAAAGTACTTTATGTCATCTACTTTCAACAGCCATGTCTCAACCAGGTAAGATAGAATGGACTCCAGTGCGGTATACTCGTCCTTTGATAGATAGTCGGATGTCTTGACGGCGCCACAGATGATGCGATTTGGCGAATTACAAACGAGGTTTCTCTATCTGAGCTGAGATTTCGTCAGCAACCAGGTCGTTCAGGCTGATGCAACCCTACAAGTAAGTGAAGTGGTCGACACATTCCACCACTTCACTTCCTATCATTAAATTGAGAGTACTTGCAGTAGATCAGTCCTAGTGCATCATCATACATTTGACAGGTACCAATGAAAAGCACGCCAAAAACACTCAGATTTTGGCTCAATGCGTTCAGAAGACTCTACATTGCCTCAGCATTTTCACCTAGTAGGATAATATCATCTGCATACTCCAAGTCAACCAGACACCAACCAGGGAGTGGATTAATCCATGTGAAGTCAAACGTATTTAAAGCTATGTACATTAGTGTACCTATAATGAAACTGAAAGGGAACGGTGACAGTGGAAATCCATAGTCGACGCCGCTAGTTGTTGTCAATTCACATGACAACTCTCCATATACACTGACGCGGCTGCCTGAGTTCAAACAGAGAGACTAGATAAGCACTATATACTTGCTCGGTACTCCTATTACAGCTAGACACTGCCGCAACACCTCATGGACGACAGAGTGAAACGTCGCCTTCACGTCAACAAATATGGCAGGTATCTGCTATTAGCTGGTAGGTGTGTCTGTGATCTAGAACCTGTCGGAGGGTGAAAATCTGATCAATGAACCACAACAGAAACCTGCTTGATTTTTTCGAGCTCCAGTTAGGTGTCGGATAGCAATGGACACTAAGATCTTGGACAAGATGTCAATCAAACTGATCCCTTCTTATGGTTGTCACGAGAAGACTTTCCTCCTTTCAAAATAGACTGGAATGGTCGGTGAAGTAGACTAGGCTGACGGCATTACTTCTGATTCCTATACACTACCTAATACCTCCGTCATTTTAATCAGCGACTTCCTACCTCCATGCTTGAAAACTTCGAGTGACAAACTGTCAGATCTTGATGTTTTGTATCTTTACAGGTTAGATACAGCTTTCTCAACTTCAAGGTGAGTCAGAGGACCGAAATCTACGTCCCATTCAGGTTCAGGCTAGATGTTGGGCAACTGAAGTGTTGTTGTGGACCAATTGAACTGTGCTTCAAAGTCTTTCATCCAACTTACTAGACGTCTGCAGTGGGAAGTTACCAGCGTTTCATCCTTTTTTGGTGATGGTTTCACTAACCATCGTTTCCTTCTCGTTGGAATATTTAATAAGCCTAAACAGTTTCTGGGTGTCATCTAACGTTGATGCCTTCTCTGTCTCTCAGGCTTGCGATCGCTGCGAAGACTCCTGCCCAATTTAGGTTTAAGTTGCTTTCGCTCTTCATTGTGGTCACAGCCAGAAGGAATCAGTCTTCTCGCATCAATTTAAGGCTACACTTCTATTCGCTTTAACATTATTGTTCTAAATGTACTTAATTCACTTTGTCCAATATCCTCCCCGATTATTTCATAACTTCATATTCCCTGTTGGCTTTCTGTCTATATGCTACTCAAAATTGTGGCTACACTGTTTCACCTTCCGAGGTGTGGACAGCTAGGTAGTATCATTAGCCTTAACACAATAGGTGTTGTTGCTTATTGCCTACCTCAAGAATGTGTGCAAGGGTGCAGGAGTTCATTTTGATCCGACTTCACTTAATATACCCTTTTAAAATCACAAGTATGTCGAACATATTGTTGGATACAAAAAAACTACTATGATATTCTTTCACGAAGGAATGGTTTCACCCTCTTAAACTTTATACTATGTCAACCCTAATAGTGAAACTCAAAACCACTAGTCAGCATAAAAGTATCATTTTAAAAAATTGTAACATACATATGGTTATCAGACAGAAGTAAATCACATTCACGAATACATCTCTGTTATTCTACTTAAAAATACTTACTTGTCCAACCATATAACAGCATTTAAGTCTAAGTGGTTTGTCGGTTCGTCCAACAGCAAAAGTGTTGGTTCTAAAAATAAAGCTCTCGCCAGACTAACACGCATTCTCCAACCTCCTGACAGATCTTTGGTTGGTCTATCCATCATACCTTTTGTGAAACCCAAACCTGATAGTATACGTCTCGCTTTGCCTTCTGCTGCATCAGCTTTGATTGCAACAAGCTCTTCACAAACCTAAAAAACATAACGAATGACATCAAAACAACATTCTCAAGAACAATGTTGTACACTTATGACTTCTTTTATCCAAAGCAATAATATCATATTGATTGTAGAATTGTTCTATCTGCCAGTAGCTGCTTCCATACAAAATATTTCCGAGCAATAATGTGTTAAATTCTTTGTGATAATTAAAGCGCATAACGCTAGAATTTTTTCCCCTCCGTTACAATGCATCATGGTCTACTTATCTGTAAATTTTAAATGTTAGCGCAAACATTTTTGACCTCATAAGTATGCGAAATCCATATAAAATTCAGAAATCTTCTTAACTCTATAATACAGTGAGGGAATTCAAACTCCTTCGGTGTTTACCACAATATGTTATCTGATTAAGGGCATTAATCAATGTGCACCATAATAGCGAGTCTCCTAGCTTGGTAACCACAATGCGAAATGATCGAGGGAATTCAATCAGCGCTTAAGAATAGAAAACATGAAATTGGTTCCTTCCCGATGATTAGTCAATGCACATTATCAGTGTATTTACGAACTCGGTTAGTAAAAAAGGGTAAGTTTCCATTCATTCTACAAAGTGAAATAAATGATAATTGTTAACGCATAACTCAAAGTGATAGCTCATTTCTCTAGAGAAAAGTATCGATGAAAAATCGAAAATGAATCTTATGCCATTCGTACTTATTTTAATGAATGTTGTTGAGATGAGCAAAGATATTTTCATCAGAAGGTATCGCCAGCAACCGTAAGTTAGTAACAGAAAGCCTCTATTATATGACAACTGCAAGCGGAGACCTAACCAATAGCTGCTACCTTGACGTGGTGGTCGGGATTGCATATCACAACGATGCAACGAGATACACTGGCTGGCTGTTTCAAGGTCCTACCATACCAGAAAGGTCTGTTGCATTGTGGTTAGACAAAAAGAAGTTAGCATTATAGTGAACTTTTTTACACTACGAAAAAGGTCCGAGGGTGAAGCTGTACTTCTGGTCGGAATGGGGTTAACAATAGTAAGGTGTTTCCCTTGCATGGCCAACAGCGTCATAGTAGTGCTCCTTGCCTATAGAAAGGGAGGTAAAAAAAAGCCCAACCCCCAGAACAGCACACTCCACCTACCCTATGGCAGAACGGTGCCTCCGATAAGCATTCATAGTCAGATTTCACTTGAGCAAATCAAAACCTCAAACTTCTGAAAAGGCAGTGTGTGATCGGCCTCAAGCAGATGTCCTATGAACTTATCGGTAACAAACTAAACCTCTTTTTCACACACCTCAAGAAACACCCCTCCAAGGCGTGGGCAGTCAGCAAGTGTCAACCACCCTCAGCATGTACTGAGCATTCCCAGACACTGCCTACCTCAACATGTACTGTTAGAAGTTGGATTAAGTTGGAAAAGGGTTCAGGGTGGCCAGACCAAGACGTGGTATCAGTCCATGAAGTCTCTTACTGTTAGCCTGAGCCAGCTTTGTCTACTTTCATGTTACTCTTTTACCGCCCACATGTTCTTTTGGTACTACTGTAAGGTATGGCAACTTGGGCCACAAGTATTTAAATATCTAAGAGAAACTAACAAAGTTCGACAATCTGTGACTGTTAGGCTTTATGTTTCGCATAACACAACAACGTTTATGACAGAAATTTACTGAAAAACACAAGGGATTTCCTGAGCCTCATTTGATCTAAGGTCTAAAAGACAAATAATGGAAATAAATATCCAATAATTTTTTCATACAGATATACCCACTAATTTTGAGGTTCACTGTAAAGTTCCAACCTTTCTAAGGATAGTATAATTGCTTGTCTCGAGTTTGAATCCTGGTGGGAACATCACTCACTGCTAGGCAGGTACATTCAGCTGATGAGTTCCAATTAAGAAATGCGCATCCTGCATTCCGTTGCTAGCCACTATCAATCATTACTTTCTAAGGTAGTCACAAAAACGCTCAAACGTATTTCACATATGTTGGATTAAATTTCTTTGAGAAACATTTTGAACACTATATTAGAAATACATACTGTGTGGTATGGCGTCAGGAATATGAATGTGATAGAGATTATAAACGTGTACCTCAATGATTAGTATAGTATTGTCGTACAGGTTTCAAAAGTCAAGGTAACTAAGTAATCAAGTAGAGGTTTGTGTAACAGGCTATGAACCACATAGATTGTATGCGAACTTATGGTGCTATCCAGCTACCAAGATAGAAGTAATAGGATGAGGTGATCAGATCAGTAAACTAATAATGGATAATCGTAATCCAACTGGAAAGTTTTCTGACCAATGTTCAAAAAAGCTCACGATAAAGAATATTGAATTTTGTCAGTATCCAAAAGAAATAAACTAGCCCTTGTGTAATTATTTATTCTTTTTAGCAAAATGTGATGATCCTCAGTGATGTAGTTTTAACTATTTACTAGCGAAATTTAACTATAATAAGTGAGAGATAAAAATCGTTCGAAAAGAACTAATGAAGCATAAGTTAAATACATAGGAAACTTTAATCAAATTCAATGTGCTATTTCAGCTCACCTCATTCAATCTATCAATCAGGGATTGACTTTGATCTGTTTCTAGAAGAGCCTTAATCTTTTCACACTCCTCTAATAACTGTAATCGCTTTTTATCAGATTTGAGAACCATTTCAAAAGCTGGTGTTGAGTCGGCTACAACTTCTGTAAGACAAATAATACATCATTATTTAAAATGGATGAGTAGACAAAAAAACCAGGTTTGAAAACACTTACACGACTCATATTTTAATAGACAATTAAGGTTAGATGAATAAAAACTTACTGATCACAGAAGAAAACTATATGATAACTATGCAAACATTGCACAATAATGTAGTGTAGTGATCACTTGAAGTGATGGAAATTACACTTTATGAAGTATTGCTCACATGCACACTGAACACACGTACAGTTATCAACTCAGTAATGAAACTAGATCCTGATGAAAACAATCCATAACTACAACAGCTGAATAGCTGTGAACTGCGAGACATTTTTTCACTAATTAACGGCTAATGAGTTGACTATACATTACTTACATGAAGAAATTTCTTTTTTATGAGAAAATCATTTCTAACTCTTTTTTTTATCCTGCCTCGTATTATTTTCTGAAAGGGTAATGTAGCTCTTACACAATAAATAAGATTAAAAACGAATGGGTGAACTTGAAGAAGGTTACCAAATTGGACTTATGATCAACATTAGGATGTATTCCCTTGATAGTAATAATAATGGTGACAGGGTTGGCAAAGAATTCAAATCCTTCACTGTCTTACCAAACAAAGAATGCACCTCAGAAGTATTATAAAGAATTCTAAACAAGCCTGCTGGGATTTAAACCAACAAACAAACTAGCTTAGGAACAAGTTTTGTAGGTCAAAAGATCCTATTGATCTAAATAGCCAAAATAATTTGGTTTACTAAATCCTTTGCAATGATTGCGAGGTTGAATAAGCAGATTAAAATAGTCGACCAGGGTCAATTAGAATAACAGAGCACAAAACTTAGCTGAATCAAGATTAGGAGATCTTAATAAGATAAAAAACTTAGAGAAAAGCTCGGCTATAGCTCTGCATGCAATTACACGACCGTATTCAAACTACCTTAGTTGGGTGTGGGTAGAGATTGGTAACCGAATCTTTGTTAATCTAATCAACACCAAATACATGTAGTGACAGGAATTATTATGCGCCTGTGCAAGACAGATGGAAAATTCTACTACACTTGTCATCACAAAGGAGAGAAAATATGGACTATATAAACCATGTCTCAAAACCTGAAGATCTACAGGCGAAAACTAACAAGTTGACAGAAGGGGCAGGGTAGCGAAAACGGGACTTCAAGTGAATGTAGAGAAGACGAGGTGATGAAGATAACCGACCAACAACAGCATCAACAACAAGCATCAATCACCATTAATGGGAGAAACCTAAAGAAAGTAGTCTCTTTCACCTGCCCGCTTAGGTAGCATCGTTTCAACTACAGGCGGCACAGGCACAGACCAGGATGTCAAAACCAGAATCGGAAAAGCAACACATGCTTCCTATAATCTGAAATCAGTATGGAGATTTACTGCACTCAGCACAAAGCGTGAACAAGATCCGGATTTTCAACCCCAACGTCTAGTCAGTGATTCTATGTTGATGGTTCAGAAACTTGGCGCGTTATGAAAATCACTTCCATCAAATTACAGACATTCATCAACAGCTGCCTACTCTGGTTCGATACTGAAGATCAAATGGATGGCCAGAATGATAAGAATAAGCAACAAGGAACCCTGGCTGGTTGGCTGGCTGGTTGGCTGACAACGAACCAATGAGGCAACAACCTATCACACAATAAATATGCACTGTAAGGAAGTGGAGATGGATAGGATTGGGCATGCATTGAGAAGGCCGATTGTGGACATCACGTGTCAGACCAGGCCGTTGAGTGGAACCCAGATGGGAAACGATGAGCTGGGCATCCAAGGCGAGGGTGACATGGATGAGATGGTGTGGTGTGAGGAATAAATGAGAGGTTGTGTGCAGTGGTGGAGCCAGGTTCAAAAGACTAGAGAAGAGAGTGCAATGGAGGCGTGCTACTGAAGGCCCTATGTTCCTCTAGGAACCCAAGGGACAAATAATAACAATAAAACCATGTCTCGAAGTTGCGGGGTTACATTATACGAATATGGACAATAAACAATGTCCGAAAGTTTATTCAGTAAATGATACTGTTTCACTCTGTGACATTTCTAATAAAGAGACTAAAATGAAATTAAAATCTACCACAGTGTCCAAGTTTTACTCCTATGATTAATTGCTTTACAATGAAAACCTTGATTATTTCACAACGAGGTAACATACAAAAACAAACTAAGTGCAAATAAGCGATCTACATGAAACTTAAAACGATAGTTTGATAAGTGGAAGAACTGTATTCAAAGTTTTTTAGAAACTTAATGATACACTGTTATAGGACAATGGTAAAAGAGTACTCAAAATCAGATGCCCAACAGCTGTGAAGTTGTAACGTGGTATATCAATGCAAAACGCCATTAATATGATCGTCCGTAAACCATAATCTAAATGTTTTGTATGCATATAACTTTCTGAAAATAAGCATAAAGCAGATCACAGACACTAAAGAGTTAAATAGAAGTCCATATATATATATATATATATATATATATATATATATATATATATATATATATCGATTATCCACATTCATAATAGAAAGGTATATTCCTTGACAATAATTTCATGAATGAAGTCGACCAGCGTGATGTCCATTTACGTAAGAATAAATAAAGAAACAAAGAAACTTCTACTAACCTTGTTCACAAAGAAGTACATCAATATTGGTAGGAATATTTATCGCGCCAGTAGCGATATGCCGGAGTAACGTAGTTTTCCCGTAACTTCATTGAAAATAAATTAAGATATTTATAATAATAATAATAATAATAATAATAATAATAATAATAATAATAATAATAATAAATAATGCGTTATATAAAAAAGTGTGAATCAGGATTACCTATTGAAAACACTTCTTTAAGTATTGAGTGAAAAATAACTTGGTGACCAAATATACCAACTCGCATATTACAGTTCGAATCAAATCTATCGTGTGAGGAATAAAGATATCTTCAACTATCCAAATGACCGTAAGGTGCATTGTGACCTACTAGGTTTACTTAATATTCCCTAGTTGTTCTGATATTTTTCGATATTCCTGTACTTACTTCTTGTTATGTCTCTTTTTGATTGCCAATACTTATTCTCTACACCTGTTAATCGCACTACCTATTAATTACCCGAAATCCTCTAGTATAAGCTATAACATATTCTTTGTTCCAAAATTAGTCAAATGTATACACAATATCAATGTAAAGTGTGTATAATCCCTAAGATAAAGTTCTGTGAAAATAACTGTTGACTCATATATATTGTCACCTTAATCTAAAAGTACTCTGAACCAAATTATTGTTAACATAAGGTGAAATGAAAACTTCGACCACGACCGGATTCGAACCAGCAACCACCGAGTTCCTGGCCCGACCCTCTACCAAATGAACTACGAGATTCGACTGCTGACTAGATTTTTATTTTACTTCAGTCACCATGCATTTTGCACGACTATCATGCCTTACTACTGTTTGATCGTATTTATACTGGCTGTCCAGTCAGGAATTTGTATCCCAATCATTTTGACTATCTGAGACAGCAATGGTTTGACAGACAAGTATTGATACTGATTACTAATGATTAGTCATTAGCAATCAAAATAAAAGAAAAAATAAGCAGTAACCTAAGATATATCAGAACAATTTTCAATTGAAAATAAATTAGAGAAATATGCTCATCAGCAACTTAATCGATTTGATTTCATTTAACCCTGACAGTTAAGTATGTCAGACACCTCACTGTTCAAATGAGAAAACAAGCAACATTCAAATCTTTAAAACATATTCTAAAGGCAAGCTTTTAATGACTCTATAGACACAGTAGTTGCAGATACCCAAAAAATGACTACATCAATCATTATTCATAATCGATGATTTACTTGAATATTATCATTATTTTCCCTTGGGTTCCTAGTGAACACAGGGCTTCAGCAGCACGTCTCCATTGCACTCTCTTCTCTAGTCTTTTGAACCTGGCTCCACCACTGCACACAACCTTTCATTTCTTCTTCACATGATCTCCTCCATGTCACCCTCGCCTTGGATGCCCAGCTCATCGTTTCCCATCTGGGTTCCACTCAACGGCCTGGCCTGACACGTGATGTCCACAATCGGCCTTCTCAATGTATGCCTAATCCTATCCATCTCCACTTCCTTCCAGTGTATATTTGTTGAGTGAATGGCACTTGCCTCATTGGTTCGTTGTCAGCCAGCCAGCCAGCCAACCAACCAACCAGCCAGCCAGGGTTCCTTGTTGCTTATTCTTATCATTCTGGCCATCCATTTGATCTTCAGTATCGAACCAGAGTAGGCAGCTGTTGATGAATGTCTGTAATTTGATGGAAGTGCTTTTCATAACGCGCCAAGTTTCTGAACCATCAACATAGAATCACTGACTAGACGTTGGGGTTGAAAATCCGGATCTTGTTCACACTTTGTGCTGAGTGCAGTAAATCTCCACACTGATTTCAGATTATAGGAAGCATGTGTTGCTTTTCCGATTCTGGTTTTGACATCCTGGTCTGTGCTTATGCCGCCTGTAATTGAAACGATGCTACCTAAGCGGGTAGGTGAAAGAGACTACTTTCTTTAGGTTATGGTCTTGTGTGATAAGACACTAGACATAAATCATCGGCGAAATCCAAATATTGTAGTAGCTTTTCATCGGTCAAACAGCGTATGCCCAACTTCTTTCTCCTCACGGTTTGCTGAATGATCAAGTCGAACCCATTCAGGAAGATGATCGGTGATAATAGGCGGCAGCCTTGTCTTACTCCCGTCTTTACTTCAAAGGTGTCACTGAGCTTTCTATTGTGAATCACTTGGCATGTGACGTCTTCATATAGCTGTTGAATGATGTTGATAAAGATTTGTAGCGCTAAGACCGTAGTGTTGAAGCAGTTGCCTGCCAAATTACTTCTCGGTCAACACTGTCAAAGGCCTTTTCAAAGTCGATAAAGTGGAGGTAGAGAGTTGACTGCCAGTCTATACTCTGTTCTATGATGATGCGTAGCGTAGTGTTGCAATTTGATTCACACATGATTTTTTTTATTCCTGAATCCAGCCAGCCAGCCTGTTTCGGTCGTAATTTTGAATCCAGAGCATTCTTTAGTCTCTCCAGGATGATGCAGCATAATATTTTGCTTGCTTTGGTTGGACAGCAGCATGATTCCTCGCCAGTTATTGCAAAGGCTTAGGTCTCCCTTCTTTGGGAGTTTGACGAGGTAGCCCTTCTTCCATTCAATCAGCTGGTACCAATATTCTTTACAGAAAATATCCATTAAATTCCTTCTTTTCAATTTCTTTTAATCATTGAAATATAGACGCAGATCCAACGCCAGCTGGCTGTTTCACATTGATACCTTTAATACTGTTATTATTAACACCATTCAGATATAATAGTTATTTCGTTTAGAAATATTGTTCTGGGAGCGACTTTTTGAAATGTTACATGCTGAGAATTATATACTGTATCATAAATATCGTTTGAAAGAAAGCGATTATCATTATTACTTTTTACACCACATTATTCTTAAGTGTAATGTTAAGATCTATATGAAACTTAGTGAATAGATGAAAGGGATTCCATAAAAAAACTTCTGAAGTCTCGTTTACACTTCGTAAGAAAACTAGGGTGATCAGTCTTGACAAAAAGTGGTTCAACCAATGGAATGAAGTCTTTCATTAGTAATGGTAATTAGTATATATATATAAACAGAAAAGGTTCGTTTACGTAGAAATATGGCGCTTTAAAATGACGAATAAGTATTTCACTCATCAATTAAATTTCCCTTTGTCTAGGACTACTCACTAGCATACCAGAGGAAAGTAGAACTAGAGAGTTACCTGGTTAAATTGATGAAATCAAGCAAACAAAGCAATGAGTACTAGATAGATTTACTCTCAGAAGTGGAAGGAAAACTAGTTCCCCAAATTTAATAAGGAATGCAGTCATGTGAAATCTGCTACCAATATAACAGAAAAGTTATAAGTAGGCAACCATATACCTTTATATCCATTCGATATAAGTTCCTGAGTCTTTACCTTACATTTAATTTTAAACCCACTGGATGATAGTACTGTGTTTGTTTTCGCATCATCGAACTCTAGATTTTCCGAACCATTCTTGGTGTATATTATTATATTGTTTGTCCCTTGGGTTCCTAATGGAACATAGGGCTTCAGTAGCACGTCTCCACTCCACTCTTTTCTGAAATCTTTTCAACCTCGCTCCACCACAGCCCATAAGCTCTCATTTCCTCCTCGCACGATCTCTTGCATGTCACCCTCTTGGTGTGCTTGTCTAATATACTAGCAGCAATATGTGTCGAGCTCATAAAAACTAAACATTACAAAAAGCTTAGCAGCTTGCATAAACAAAAACGATTCAGTCTTGGAGATGTTATCGAACCCGTGAAATGTCCTATAAACAAGAGGTTGTAATGAGTGAAATATTAAAATGTACAAATGCAACTCGTTCAATGTGTACACATTCATGAGCTGGATAATAATTCACGTCTATCGTATAAGGAGCCGTGGTACACTATCGAGTTACCAAATTCCTCGGTAAGTGAAATAAGATTCAACCTCGTAACCGATTTATTTGAGAAGTACACTAACCAATCCAATAAGTAGAAAATTAGTGGCTATGCGCAATTAGATGCAAACAATTCAACGTCATAATCACTGTCAGTTATTTAGTTACATTAAATTAATACAATCTGAAACTAATCATAAAAGAATCACCCTTTTAGGACAAAGTAATATGAAAATGTGATTACCCATTAGGTCCTACTAATCCATACCGACGACCATGAGTAATTTGCAGAGAAGCATTTACAAACAAATCTTTGCCTTTTGCAGCAATTGAGAAATTCTCAACTCGTATATCAAGTTGATTGTCTAGCTGTTCTGATTTTGAACTTTTGCTAGCCTAGTTTTTTTTTTCAAAAATCAAATAGAAAATCAATTTGAAAAAAAAAATCAGTTGCCTAGTAATAAAATGTGTTACATACAAATCAGGTAATAGGGTAAAATAAAGACAATAATAAAATTGACATGTAGACATGTTGAAACAATGAGTGGATATTAACCACAGAAACACTTCAAGGCATAGAAAGAGGAAATAAATAGGTGGAATAATAGGGCATGACACTGAAAAAGATATATATGTAAACCAGATGAAGTATGAGTGCATAAACATTGCTGCATCGTATCTTCAGCTAAGTGGAGCTGTAGCTCACTGATTTAGACAGTTGACCTTCAACTAATGGACCACGGGTTTGAAAACCACCCTAACTAAAGAGGCTTAAGTAGCTAGGCAATATTATTAGCTCTCATACACTAGGTGCAGCTCGTTGCCTATTACACGAATATGCATAAGATTGCTGAGTACGATTCGATCCTCAACTAAACTGTATTCTCCAACCATAAACCAGGCTGCAACTGCTTTCATCTTACTTCGACTCCAGTGAGCAATTACTAGACGTGTGCAACACATGTCTTCATATTCTGGGTCGATGAAGATTCACAACCTTATCAAGTGATGTATAATTGTCTATTTTAAAAACATTATGTTCAACTTTATTGTCAGTTTTACTAGGCGTGAATGATGCTTCAAACATATATATAGTCAACAAAAAAGTTGTAACTCATGTATGTCTCTGGCCTTCAATGACCAAATTTTACATATATAAAATGAACATAATGTAATGCTACTTAGTATACCTAATTTTCATCAAGCATTTAAGTATTTTACATTTGTGAAAGATGTGAGAAAAAAACAGAAGTTGGAAACTGTCAGTCATTGCATTGTGATTCATTGATATACTCACTGTGACACCTAACAGTCATGAGTTTGACCTCACTAGGAGTTACTGATGTATATTCCTGAGGAGTCTTAGAACTGGGACGAAACAGCTGCCCAGTGTTCTTATTTGTGGTCAAATTTCTTCTGAGATAGAAATTAACATCTATTCTAACAAATACAGAAACTAGTGGTACATAGTAAAGTTTAGACTACAAACTCAAATGAATGTGAAGTTCACGCAACTGACATTTTAAGGCAAATATAAGAAATAGTCTTAAATTACTGTACCTGGGAAAGTGCAAAATTATCAAGTGTCCCAGAAGATGCAATAATCTTTGCTTTTGCAGTTTCAACAAGCTTATCAAACTCTTCTTTTTTCTTAAGCTTCTTAAGATCTTTCTTCGATACCTTGACTTTGGCAGCACCAGCTTCACTTTCCACATTTCCTTTGTCAACCTCTGGTTTTGAGTCAGCATCATTCTCTTCTGCTTGGATGGTTAAACACTCGTTCACAGCTGAATCACTGATTGTATCAGTAGGCAACTCTGTACCTTTAACATCTGGTTTGAAGTCTTCATGGATGGGCTCATTCGATTCAGTTTCTAAATCAATACTTGTTTCGGCATCATCTGCTACTTCATCGTGATTTAAAGTTACTCCAGCGAATCCACCAAACTTCGTTTTCGGGAATCAAAATCATCTATTTCATCTTCTAGAGAAACAGTTGTTATGGCTTTAGTTAAACCGTCTATATCTTCATTTTCACTATTGAACCCATCATCAAATTTCTTTTTCCCAGGTTTCTGTTTTTTTTTCTTACCAGGTGCATTTTGAACAGGTGCTTCCTCTTGTTCTCCCACTTGCTTTTGTTTTCCACGACCAACCTTTCTTTTCTTTGTATAAAAATCGTCATCTATTTCTTCAGGTTTCATAGACTCTTCATCAGGTTCATACGCCATTCGTGAACTTTCAGTGTTGGAAATTTTTGTTTTCGATTGAGTATCAACTATTAGACGACTTTGTTCAGTTTCATTTTCATCTCCTTTACCCTTTTTTTTCCCTTGTCTTTTATTTGATTGAGTATTGGCTTTTCCTTCTTCATCTGAATCTATACGTTTGCCAGCATTACGTCCTGATTTCCTTTCTTTTTGTAAAAGTCGTCATCTATGTCATTTGACTTTAGGGATTCATTACTAGATTTATGATTCTCCTTCTGCATTTGTCTGCTGCCAGACTTTTCAACAACCTTTGGTTCGTCTGTATCTTTTATTGGTTGTTCTTTTCCTTTCTTTTTCTTGTCTTTTTTCTTAACAGTATCAACAACAACCCTATCCTCTTCAGCATCCGAAGCGACACAATTAGTAGTTTTTCCTTTGTTTTTTTTATTTCCAGACTTTGCATTCCGCTTCTCATTGTTATTACTTTCAGCGCTTAGGTTCTCATCATCTTCTTCCTTATTCCTAGCATTTCTTTTGGGGGGCATCTTTGAAGTTACTAAGTCAGCTAGTTCTAGTTATTTTACAGACCAGTAGAACCGCTTGTAATTATGCTGTCCAACGTAATATCACGTTTCTAAAAAAAATAGAAGAACAGATAACATGATTATACTAAGGACACTTAGTTCATATTTTCATAGCTTAATAAACAAGTCATTGGAGTGAGACCTACAACAAAAACCATTTTGATGAAGAAAAGAGTCTTCAATTTAAGAGTTTTGATTTAGTTCATACTTGAAGCAGTGTAACAATAGTTAGTCTAATTACAAGTCAAAGAAAAACTCCAGAAGTATTTTTCAGGCCTTAAGTCACAATGTTACTCTCTAACAACAAATTTATTCATTACATATCAAACAAACTGCTTTTACAATGGTATGTACACCAAAAAAAATTATTGTGCTGAAAATATAGGTATTATCGAAATTTGATAGATAAAAATGACATTCAACCAGTAGTTTCTGCTTCAATATACCTTTGGCATTTTATTTTCGAAGTGAGCTAGGAAAATACCCTCACCTGTGATTATTTTAGATTCATTAAAGTACATCCTCATACATCTTTAAACTAACAAGTAGCTGAAGTTAAGATTGCTTTCTCTAGAAGAAGCTACAGATGTATTTCGATTCTTTCCAACGGTCACCGACGGCAGTAAAGTCTATAGACATAATTCTAAGTTGAAGTTAGCGACCGATGAGTCAACCAATATCTTATGATCGTTAAAAACAGCTACCTGATAGAGACAGTTGTAGAAAGTGGAAATCATCCCTGATATGCAGAGGTAGAATTAAGTAGAATTACCTTGCTGCCCTAGTCCCTACGCTTACGAAATTGAATAGCAAACAACGATAACATAGACGCTTAGCTTTTCGTGAACGAATAAACCGATGTCGACGAAACTGATCAGGCACATGGTTTTACGTCAATGGCTACAGATTCACAAATTACAATATGCTAGTGCATGAGAACACAATCTCCACAACTCAATTTTTAAAACTGAAATCACGAAGTACCTCAGTAGCCATGTAAAAAACCGAGCAATAGGCAACTGGTCAAAAATATTGCCACCAGGAATTGATGAATGCGGTTCAGCTTATAACCTGTCAGGCAAAATTCAAAAAAAAAGGTGTACACAGAACATTTAAAAACTACATACGTATCTGTTCATTTAAACCTAGTGGGCAAAAACACCTAGGCCCTAAGACCTACTGCAATGAAAATTCTTCGGTGTAGAAAAAATGGAAATAAACGACAATCGTTGCTAGTTCGTTGGCATAGGGTTCTATAGATACCTTCCAGATACCCTTTTCGATTGGCTCAGCTTCCCTAATTGAGCGTTAAAGTCACCTGCCATTATGAATACATCTGAAAGTTTTACTTCCCGTAGCGAAATTGACAGCTTTTCATAGAATTCATCCTTTGCATCATCCAAACTGCAGTCAATGGGTGCGTAGACAGAGATTACGAATAAGCATCGGTTGGTCTCACACTCCTTCCTAGTTCTTACAAATCCATTCGGTCGAACAGCATATAGACGGATGTTGACTGATATCCATCCATCCAGTCGAGAAGCACACTTTCTGCCCTACAACTCAATGCTGTGCCTACACTAGCGAGTCCACGAGAGCTAGTCATTGAGTCTCCGGATACTCGTAAGGGGGACTTTCAAGACTCACTGCACTGATTAGGTGAGATCAATCTAATAACCACACTCGGGCCCTATACACGTGTCTCAGAGACACCGCATACATCCATGGCTGAAGATTCCAGAGTTCTGTCGAGTGATGGTTGCTGTCCGATTTGGCATAGAGTTCGGGCATTGAAAGCTCCTACATGAGGTCGATGGCGGGTCTCAAGAGGCTAGAAATGAGGTTCCGATGTCTTTGGTTGTCGGTAATGGTCGTGGAATGAGAGGTTGGGAAAGGTGTGAGAAGCTTAACATTAGCATCGGCAGGTAAAGGCAAAGGAGGTGGTTATTTTTGAGTGGGTCTTGTGTACTACTGGAAACGTGTGGGCAGTTGACACTTTCCGGCTGCCTTCACCGTTGAAGGCTATTTCTTCATACGGTATCTTCAAGAGAAAAAGGTTTGTGAACACAGAGCCCTTCAGACATCTGTTTGAGGCCTGTCACACACAGCCTTTCGCGGGTTGTGGTTTTGAGATTCGGTTGTTCTAACGCCAGAGAGAAAACCCATACCACCGGCACCAGAAGATTGTGGGGCAGGGAGGAGTGTGCTATTTTTGGGGTCGACTTTTTCTAACCCTTCCCTTCCCAGTATCAGCGTGGCACTGTTGGTCGTCCAAGGGAGATACCTCACTGCTGTCATAGCCCATCTAGCCAGAAGCATAACTTCGCCCTCGGACCCCCACCATTGTGTAGCAATTTACACTACAACTGTTACTGCTTTTTGTCTTACCACTATCCAACAGACCTTTCTGGCATGTTAGAACTTTGAGGGAATAAGCTTTCCAGTCAGTGTAGTTCGTTGGGTCATTGTGATATACAAGCCCGACCACCACTTTTAGGTAGCAGTTGTTAGAATGGAGAATACGGCAGCCATTAATTAGCCGATATGTAATATGCAGGTTCGTATAGTTAGTGATGATCGACACCGATAATGATTACTCGTGATACCATCTAAGCTCCGAAACCTAAGTAGGTGAAGCGAAATAACGATTATCGTTTGTTTTAATTTTGTTGCAACAATCACTTGCTTCTATTCAGCACTAACTTTCAGCATAATGAGAGGCTTTGTCTCACATAGCGCCCACTGATGGAGGTACTACGTACTTGATGGAAATCAGAGGTAGTACCATCAGACCAGTGTGCTACACCGATCATCCTAGTCTATAAGAATGGAGAGAAGTCTTCTTGTGGTAACCATAGTGGAATTAGTTTGACTAATATTGTATCCAAGATTCTAGAATCAACATTTATCCGACACCTAACTGAAGCTCGAGAACCGCAAACTTGAAAAAACCAGGCAGGTTTCAGACAGAGCTGGATGAGTATGTATCGATTAGATTTCCACCCTCCGACAAGTTCTGAAACACAGGCATACACTTCAGCCAGTGACTGACACACAATATTCATTCACTCGAAGGCGACATTCGACTCAGTCGACCGTGAAGTGTTGTGGCAGTGTTTGACTTCGAAAGAAGTACTGAGCAAGTAAGCAGTGCTTTTCAAAACTCTCCACTCGAAATCACCCAGCCGTGTAAGCGCTTATGGAGAGTGGTCATATGAACTGATGACAACTAGTGGTGTCCACCATGGATATCCACTGTCACTGTTCCCTTCCTCATTATAGATGCACTAATGCACATAGCTTTAAGTACGTCTGACTTCACATGGATTAATCCACTCCCTGGGTGGTATCTGGTTGACTTGGAAGGTGCAGATGATATTCTACTAGATGAAGATGCTGACGCAATGCAGTCTTCTGAACGCGTTAAACAGAAATCTGAGTGTTTGGTTGGAATGCGTTCGGCACTAATCAAATATAAGATGATGCTTCACGACTGACGTGCAACTACTCCCAGTTCAATGACAGGGGTGAAGTGATGGAATATGTCAACCATTTCATTTACTTGGGGAGCTGCATCAGCCTGAACGGGCTGATTGCTGATGAAATCTCGGCCAAATCACATCATCCGTGGCGCCGTCGAGACTTGTATTTATCAAAGGACAAGTATACTGCTCTGCAATTCAATGTCTTACGTCGTTGAGACAGGAATGTTGAAAGTAGACGACATGAAGTGGTTACATGGTTTTGATCACGTGTTTTAGTAGCATTGCTCAAGTTTGGTGGAATCACTGTATGACCAATGTTGAAGTTAGGCGAAGGTTACTGGGCAGGACAGGTAAGTTTATCGATGGGATTGTGAACCTTAGTCGACTGAGATGGCTTAGACATGCGTTTCGCAAGCCAAGCTATCACCTACCTCGATGAGCTATGCCAGGTGAATTTGGGTGAGGTCGGAAGAGGGCTGAGGGTGACCAGATCATGACGCGTCACCAGTCCAAGAAGTCTCTGTTGGTCTGAGTTGTATGGGAGACGTAAACTATAGGGCTCATATTCCCGAGATGAAAGGAATCAGTGGTTGAGGTCTCTTCTTGAAACGGTTGGAAATTGGTTACAATGGCGCAGCTCCGTTCACTTCTTGACATTAAAACCTGGAATATTTGCACTAACCTATATTTTCAAATCGTTTATTTTTCTCACACAACTTTGATGTCACTCTGTTTCAATGAACTTGCTTTTTGTTTACTACTATACGGTGTCATAATTTGAGCCGATGCACTTGTGCGAGGTTCTGCGTTGATTTTGCCTGTCTGCTTTAGCCTTATTCCAGCACAGAATGACTCAGAGGCCGCGGTAAGCTACGACTTATAACGACAATGTATTGTGAAATGCAAAGGTAGCCTCATAAAACCTTGAAATGCTTTAACAGAATGTTTTGAACATTATAGTCCAGCTGACGGTTTTTGTTTAGAGTACTCAATCAAATCAGTTAGTTCACGCTTTAGAAAAGTAGAGGAAGCGTCATTTTAGTGCCTGAAGATAAACATTTTCCACAAGAAAAGAAACTAGAAAGGCTTATCCATGAACATTATTTCACTGTAAGATAGGAGATCTTATATTAATGTTCTACATTTTGAATATACAACTTTCTATAAATATGTCCAACTTCTTTTCTCCTTTTAGGACTGATCATCTCAGATAACGTCCATAAATGTCGAAAGGTGATTGAAATATATTTTATTTGAGATTCAAATCTTCCTCGTACTGACCTGAAGTGAGAATTAACACTGACTGACTGGCTAACCCTATCACTGAAATGCCCCCTGCAAAAGTGAGAACAACGCAGTGGACGACGCCACTTTTCTTTCAAGCCCTCAAAATCAAGCAGGATTTATGCGATAAACAGGATTACAATTAACCGGACCTAAAATTGCATAAATAATTGGGTACGTCTAGCGACTATG